ATTAACTTAATGAACTTGCGTAAAATTATTATTTACGTTTTAGTGCGCACAAATAAAATCTTGTTGTTAAGAAGTTTTTTTTTAATTATATCTTTATTTCAATACAAATATAGCCAACAGCACGTCAGCTTACATAAAATTGACAAACTTTCGTCAAAACCATATCTCGGTAAAGATCAAAATCAATTGAGGAAATTGGACATAGTTGTACCTATTATATGTCATATGAAACATGAAGAGCTAAAAATAGCACGGCAACTTAGGGATTACCCGCATCGTTATTTTTATTCGCGCGGATTTTATTTCTCAATAAAATAACCATAACACTTTGTCCGCACCACGCCCGAGAGTTGCGTGTGTGAATTGAGGTATGGTCGTGGTCTGGGAGGACCAGGTAGGGATGATGCCGTCGGGTGGTACCAAGGATCCAGGAATGACTATGGTGTTACCTGGCTTACTGCTAGGCTGAACTGGCTTGACCTGATGAGGGGTGAGAGGCTGGTGGTGAAGAGTGATGGCGGCGCTATATTGCTGAAGATTGCTTATGATCTACTGGTGTCATTATCATCTACTGTAGGAACCGTTATAGTGAAGGGTGTGGTCCTACTTGATGATGGAGACAATTGGCAAAGGAGACTAAAGGATAATTGTCTCCCTCGGAGCCATTTCTGACCCGTGGAACACCAAAATGTTTCACCTAGGTATTCCACGGTTAACATTTTCATTACCCCTGGTTCACCTGGGTGTAAATATTCTGCAGATGCTCTTCATTGATCTAGTTCTACGGCTAACTTTTTGCTTTTTGCTCTAAATATTAAAATCTATTGGATGACACAGCCAAAAATGCAGTTTGAAACTTTCTTCGAGTGTATGAAAATGATGGGAACTGTCTGGCTGAACTTTAAATTTATCTATTTACCTACCATCCTTTCGTCCTCTCCTTATGCAGTACATAAGCCACTTAAAAACTTGGGTGTTGTTAGCCCGAGACCGCGGTCCAACCGATGTAGGTTGTATTCTAGTTTTACGAATTGGTAATGAAACTTATTATGGGCGATGTAGGTTTCCTTTGTTCTTAACGACTTGTAATATTTTAACTAAAGGTACACAACGCCATCTTGTTACTGGGTGTTGGAAGTTCTTGCTATGGATTGTTGTGGTGATGTTAGAGAGATACGCTAGATGTCGCTACGTATCAGTCGCCACATTAGCGTACCAACATTCTAATTATCGATACTTTTGATTCGATATTGTTTTGGGATCGATTCTTTTAATATGAGCCTAGAATCTAGCAAAGCATCAATAGTAGAACTATACGGTTATCAAATTAGAAATATATGGAGTTCGCCAAGGCATATGCAGTGATTTTACCAACTATATTAAATCATCATACAAAATATCGTTTTATAGACTACAATAAATATCGATTATCAATATATCGAAAATCGACAATGTCGCCGAAATAATTATCGATTTTTTTCCCAAGCCTAAACCGCAGGCTCATGATTTTTTTCGGATTGCGGACACAGTAGTGCACAAGCGTAAATATGTTTTTCATTGCTGCCATCTCGGACCGGAAAACCGGTTCGGAAAGAGAAAAGTAAAATTCCGAACAGTACACAGGCTAGCATTACCTACATATGGACTACCGGACCTGAAAATTCAGTGTAGTGCACTAACGCCCTAAAACGGTAAATTTCGCAACCTTGTCATTTTATTGAACAAAATTTATATCGGGAGGATTATTAAGCAAATTGTGGTGGTCTAAACTACTGATTATTAATCCCTCTAGAAAACTTGGCTCAAAGCTACATATGGTCGACCTTTAGCAAAAATTCGAACTTAAGTCAACCACAGCTTTGTTCAAAGGAGTTCTTCGCACTGAAAGGCTTAATAATTTGCGAACGGCTTACTATATCTAGAAACAGTCTTCGCAAACGTCTAATCTTTTTGAAAGACCTACCTAACAATATCCCACACTATAGGGAAATCGAAAAAAAAATAAAAAATATCCCCACCTTACATGTAGTGGAGGCACCCTAAAAAAATTACTTTGATTAGTGACACTCGCAAGGTTAAGACAAATCGATTGACCAATAAATCATTTACATTTATAAGCCAAGCCGTTTAGTCTACAATGCCATATAAGAACAAACATACATACATACACTCATAAACACATTACCCATCTTTGCATTGCGCAGTCTGGTAAAAGCACCCCTTGCTGGTTTCTTCTTCTCAGTACAAGGTCTCCGTAGTTTTGCGGACCGTTTCGGCGTAGTTTTACGAGTGCTATATATAAGCCTTGACAAAATAAACAATTTTGATTTTGACCTATATCACATTAACAAAAACACAAAATATTACTTTGTCGTTCATACAACCACAATGAAAACACAATAAAAACAAAGTATTTTGTATATGTTCTATGGTATTTAAAAGTAATATTTCTACGGAACCCTCGGTGCGCGAGTCCGACTTGCACTTGCCCGATTCTTATACTTATAGGTATTTCTTAAACAAGTTTATACACATATAAAGTAATATCTTTACCTATTGTAGGTTAGAAAATATATGTATATATATGTGTGTCATTTTCTTCTTTTTTTTCTTTTCATCTTGTTATTACAGAAATATAAAAATAAACTACAAACAAATAAAAAAAAAAATTATGTCCCTTAATAACATAAAAACAACGACAGAGCACCCAATAAGTAGAACATAGGTATGAAGTGGTTTTGCAAACAAATCTATTTAATTTGTAGTGTGATGATCTTGAGTTCGATGTTGTGATGTCACAGGCGAGTCGAAGGTCAAAGACGTTCCGTGCAAACATGCAGTTTTAAATAATCTATAACTTTGACCATTTACTAAGGGATTTTATTTTGACCTATATATAATTAACATATAGTTAATGACAATTACATAGAAAATGACAATTAATTGTGTTAAATTACATAATGTTAACATATGTTGTAACCCGCAAAACCATAATTGTTCTTCAGAACAGAAATCTTTTATTTTTTTCGATAAATAATTCCTATAAACGTCCATGGAAACAAATAAGGTGTTCCTTAGTCAATTTATACAGAAATAAGATATTTTTTTGGAAAAATTTACAGGTTTTCCAATTTAAATATCCATTTTGGTTTTGCGGGTTACTACGTGTTTGCTTTCCAGCGTCTATATGAAACTTTCTTTCCTTATTGTCGATAAAGCCAATATCGACAGTTACTTCTCCATTCACACCCACGGTTCCCAACTTAGGGGTTTTCCCCCCAACTTTAGGGGGTAATTGAGTGGGATGGGATTTTTTTGGGGGTTTAATATGTTTAGGGGTATTTTTAGGGGTTTTCTGAATACATAATATTCTCTTATTCTGAATATAATAGAACTATTCAATCCAATAATAGTCATTCAAATGTTTTTTTTACTCATCGAATGACTTCAGACTGACTACACTGACTGACTGACTACATCTAGTGTAGTGTTGAATTATATTTAACTACTTTCTAATGACTAGTATCGCTTCCTAACTTTCTTTTTAGTCTGTGCTTCTGTCCTAGTCTAGAAATTTCAAGGTCATGTTTATATAGTAAGCTGTGTTGTTATTTTTCGTGTGTATATTACTTTTATTTTATATATTATTTTAATAAAATATATTTTTAGGGGAATTTTCAAAAAATTGAGGCAACTTTAGGGGGTTTTGACTTAGATTTAGGGATAAATATTTTTGAGAGTTGGTTACACTGTTCACACCCAACATTATTTCAAAATGTCAATGTCATAACTATAATTTGTGTTTAGTAGGGATGTGAGATTAATAGAAAATAATCGATTTAATAAAAATCGATTATCTTTTATAAATTATAAATCGATTTGTCAATAATCGATTTTAATGAAAATAAATAATCGATTTTTGCGAAAGAATCGATTTTTTTTTCTATTATTTAAAATCCTACATGCTTTGCATATTCCAATAATAAACCTAAAAGATTCATATTAACAATTAATCAGATTAAAAAAAAATAAAATGAATAAAAAAATTGACAATTCAAAATTAAAAATCAAAGCAAATATTCTTTTAAACTTTCAAGGTAAGGAATAATAAAAATCTTTAAACGTTATATAATAGTTAAATGAGCACCCCATCAAAATGACAACCTTATTGTCGCAAAAAATTAAATATAATAATAAAAAAAATTGTCATGAATGTAAATGTTTAGTTTTCGATAAATATCAAACATCGATGTTGGACTTACGATGATGATATCGATGTCAACATCGATGTTATTCTAATGTCGTCTTGAGTATCAGATTCTTCTTACATATTTTTTTCTTCGGTTATCCGCCATTTCTTCTTCGTTATCATTTAATTACTTTTTGTATTATAACAATTGCAGTTTCTTCAATGACTTCTTTTAAAAATTTCTTGCATCTTGCATAGTTAATTTAATTCTCGGAGTAATAATCATTTGCTGTCTATCCCATTATAAGTATGTAGGAAAATAACTAACAGCTTGACCTCCGTCCCATGTCACAATTCACACCACTATTTTGTAGCTTCGGACCATCGTGGTTACGGTCGCCATGAAATAGATCATATACACCTACATACCTACAGATGGCGCCGTTTTTATATAATCAACTTTTAAGTAATAATGCTTCTAGTTTTTTCATTTGGCGCATAGATGATGCTATTTATGAAAATCGATTTAACCGCGCAATTTATTTAATCGATTTGTTAAAAATCGATTAATATGACATGTAAAATCGATTATAAAAAATCGATTATATTAGAATAATAATCGATTAAAATAAAAATCGATTATTTTTTAACATCCCTAGTGTTTAGGGTTTTTTGCGATGTGCGGGATTTAGGATATTATTTGTATTTAGTTTAAAAATCCATACCAACTGGAAAGAATCTATCTGATAAAAGTTTCCTTTTATTCGCTGTATTTGCTTTGGTTGTGTTTTATAAAATCAATTACTAAATCATGGCCCGAAATGGAAAAACTGCCCAAGAATTCATCCAAAATTCGTTTTCACCTATTATAGCTGTACTCTGCAGTTCCAAAGTGGATAATATTGTACGAAAGAATAACCTGTCTTTTATAGAGTTACTTCAGCCGTTCACTACACTGGATGCTGATAGTAAGTTTTGTTCCAATCTTAGTTACTTAATTTGGTGCTAACTTGGTTTTCTATACCTTGTAAATGTAAGACTATATGTTTTACAATTCAAAGAAATATTTTAGAGTAATAAAGATCTCAATGTGTGAAGTTTAAAGGTATATTTACTTTAATACAGACTTCTTCTAGGTCAGTTTCGAGAACCAGGAGGCAGTTTGTGTACCATTAAATCATGGAAGCTTATATTCAGGGATGTTAACTGGAAACCTTTGCAGCCAACTGAGGCTAGAAAACATTTAAACAATGCAGTATTGCATAATTACAATGATAAAACAGTGTCAATTGAGATTGGTATGTAACATTTATACCTAGCAGGCTGACTAGGTTGGGAAAAAGTTTTTTCACATTTTATATGAAAATTCCAAACATTTTTTAATAAAGTTTATTTACATTTAACTAAAGTATGTAGGTACCATTTTGTTCGATAACATTTTGCAATCTTGTAGGTAGAGACATGATCCTATTGCTTTAGAAATTTTGGTTCTGATCAAAAAAACGCAACAAGTGGTTTTAGCAGTCCTTATGTGATGTTAATCTGACATTGCCTTAAGAGTTGTGAAGAGACTGAAACGGGTGGAAATCTGAAGGTGTAAGGTCAGGACTATAAGATGGACACATTAAAAACTCCTAGTCAAATTGTCATAATTTTTGCTGAGGTCTAGTCCTCAGCTAACACTTTTATCATGATAATGCTAGCAATGCTGGGGGCATTGCTAGCATTATCATGATAAAAAACCACACCCCTTCTATTGATTTATTCTGGCTTTCTCCCAATTTCTTGCTTTAATCTCATCAGTTGTTCACAGTAGAGTTCAGATTTGATATTGCCCTTCCAATTTCACCATACACATAGCATATGACAGTGAGTTATTCCAGGTTTCAACACAGTCCGTAGGCGAATATGGCAATGTCGATACTCAGGCGATTCGGTTTAGGGAATCCCTATCTGTGATCTGTGAAGGAGGACGCGGAGAGAGCACGCGAGCTGGCAGCCCTCGCCAGCTCTCGCCGCAGTCGTAGGACGGGGGGCAGAAGTCGACGCTACGCGCACCCACCCCCGTCTTGAGGTCTGACTCCCCAACCCTGGGTTCTTCGTTCGGTCAGATCTGCGTACTCTGTCCTGGGCGCGGCCGCATGTAAGCTTGCATATATGCGACCGGGGGCTCGTCCGGGTGGAGAGCACTGTTAAGTGCACAGATCGGACCGGTCTCTGCTGTCTGTCCCTCTTTTCTCGCCAAGCAAAGGTGGACGAGTGCGAGAGGACAGGGAGGGGCGGCTTCGAGGTGAGAGGAACTTGGGAGGTGCCTTACTGAATAGTGGGGAGGGGAGTTCCCTTCGCTCCGCGGTTGCGGCGCTGTCAGGGTCCTGGCTTTCACACAGATACATGCATTATACACACACACACACATACATTCAAACTACTTTACCCTATACTACACATACACATACAGTCACACATCCACAGTTACACACACATTTGCATACACATTCATACACCCTACACATACATACACCCTACACATCTACACGCCGTACTAGTCTAGAGTAGTATGGTGGGTACTTACCTGGGGACTTACCTGCTGTGTTTGCTCGACGACTGGTGCGGCGCCGAGACCTCGGTAGGGCCGTAGCCGCGGCGCGACGAGAGGGGATGCGACCCGTCGACCGGCTGGACGTGCCCTGTCTGCTCCCCGGAGCTGATACAGGGCGTGATGAGGTTGGTCTTCTGTGGCGCATCGACCTACGGGGGGGGGGATCCACGATAAGGGCTCTGCCTGTGTGGATCCTCCCAACACGATAGGTAGGGGATCTCTGGCTTAAAGTTTCTAAGTGATCGGCATTGCACGCTCCTGCCTCGTCGTGGGGGTGCGTCTCGAATGTCTCTGAGGCGTACTCCCAACCCGCTGTGGAACCTGCCCTTTTCAGGGCGAACCGCGCGGTGTATCCCATGCATCGCCTTCCATGCGAGGTACATCGCTGAGTTTTAGTGGGTAAACTCCTGTTTCTTGTCTAGCCCCTTCGGGTGTGGGGCCGCAGGAGGAGTCCCACATAACCCGTGAGCCCGCGCTGGGTGAAACAGGTATGCGTAACGCATTCTTCAGCGTCAAAAAAAAAGTTTCACCACAGTCTGTGAAGTCTTTAGCCATGACCTTTTCCGCACATTCTTGTTGTACTTAGTCCACTATCCATCAACAGTTATCAGCTTCTTCAATATTACCGGACAACCGGATGTACATCTTTGACATCAAAATTTCCAGATTGAAAATGCTTAAACCAAATTTGTGCTACTTTCACAGAAACTGCATTTCATTGCATTTTTGTCTTTTTGTGATATAATAAATTTTAAAATTTATCAAATTTTTTGGTTAGATTCACTCATTTTGACAGTAAGAAAAACAATTAAAATCACACATTTTCCTCATTTGAATTTGGAGTTATAAAATTTAAACTTTTTAATGATTCCAAAACCAGAATTCCAGCCAGATACAAATGGTATAGCTAGAAAGATTTTATCACAAGTTTATGCATACAACACGTGAAAAGACTTTTGCCCAACCAAACAGCGCACTTGGGTACGCTATTATTTATTACTTGATAAACAAGTTGAATCTCCCCACACTCCATGAAGCTGGATTTCTTCCTGAAAGCTTTAATTTATTATTGAGTATTCATTTTATTTACAGATGGTCGAACAATTACTATTCCTCATTCAACACCCTGGTTTGATGCATGGAGAGAAACTTATCTTGAGGTCCAATTTCCTTCAGACCATGAATACACAAAACATTTTTTGTCATGCATCATTGTAGGTACAACAGAGGATGATAATATTATTGATACATTTAACTCTTTAAATCAACAATATGCTCAGCTACAAAATGTGTCACCTCCTAAATTACCCAAATGGTTTAATAATGGAGTCCTAAAGTCATATTTACTTCTACATGATGTGTCTACTGTTACTAAGGAGAAGTATGTATCAAAATATTTCCCAAGGATTTACAATTTATTAATATCTATTAATTTTGTTTATAATTTTTTCAGAGCAGATGCTGTATTTGAAACAGTGAAACAAACATTTGGGGCTGCAAGCTGTTTCATGTTGTCAATGAATTCAAAGATGAACAAGGACTCTAATGTGTCAACTGATATTTGGACACCATATATTAAGAGAACTTCTGAAACAAATGTATGTAAAAAATTTTAAGCTATAAACATCTTTAAAATATTTGGATTTAATATATTTTCTGAAAAAATCTTTATATTTTATTTAAATGCTGTATTTTATCTTGTATAAAGGTATTTTGTATATTACGTTTTTATGCCATTCCAGTCATTCATTCATTCAGTTAAAAGCACAATATGGGTGTGGACAGTAAATGAAATTAAATACTTTTTTTTTCTTGTATTATTAAATATATTTTTACCACGGAATTCTATTGATCCACACGACTAGGTATGGAAGGAAATATGAATACCATCTTGGAGAAATTATCAGAAGAAATGTCAATACAAGGCGGAATAATAACCAAAAAGGTTACAGAAAATATAACAAAAACAATTGATGAAAAATAAAACGTCTTACTATAGAAAATCAACAGTTGAAAATGGAAGTAGAAGCCATGAAAACTAGAGTACAAAACCTAGAGAAGGCTGCTATGTATATTCTAGTATTCCATGTATATAAAAGAAATCTAATTATACATGGAATACTAGAAAAGAAGAAAAACAATAGTGATATAGAGTGTACCTTAGAAACTTTAAACAAACAAAGTGAGGCAACTGACATGGAAACGTGGGACAAGTGGGAGCTGAACAAGTTTTGCAGAACCAGAAATAAATCTACATGTCCTATACTTATCTCAGTTACACTCGGCTGGAGCCATGATATTGTGTTAAAAAACAACAAGAAGTTCACAAAGAGATATATGCCACAGAAAATCTTCCCAAAAAAGCTTTAAATAAAAGGAAGGAACTCCTACCCAAACTAAAAGAAGCAAGGGAAAATAGCATACTTTAGTTACAATATATTAATAGTGAATGAAAAAACTAATAAGAAGAGAAAGCGAGAACCTTCAGATTCTCCAAGAGAGGAAGGCAACTAATATCTTCGGGATGATAAATATATACTTAATTAGAATCACACGTGTTTATTTGGTTAGGTAGCCAGTCTAGAAGTGACAATCCAAAAATACCCTCCACTTAATTAACAATATTGATTATAATAATGTAAAAAGTACCTACATCAAAATCGATACAATATTGATATATGACAGCAACTATCATCATCATCATCCCAAACATAATTATCATTATGAAATAAATGCTTCCGAACTAAAATAAACAACCAATAGCTGCAAACAGGCAGATGCACCCGGAACACAACCAAGCAAACAATATAAAAAAATACAATACCACACAATCGTCTTCCAACCCGGCCGGTCCCCGTGGGAGCACTAGACCAACACCCCCTAGTAGAAAAAAGAACACTAAGAACTGATGAGGCATTAATGGAGTTAGAATATGCATTAGAGAAAATGAACTGGGATATAATTGGATTGAGTGAGGTAGTTGGTGAACAGATAGAAGAGTATAAAAAATTCATCCTATACTATGTTGGAAAAATACCAGGCATCTATGGAGTCGGTTCCTTTGTAAAGAGCAGTTCTTTGTAAAGGAAACAACTCCATACAAAACATATACAAGACTTTAAAGGATTATCAGAAGGAATAGCGAAACTTAATATTCAATTATATGGATTTGAACCAATCTCCATCATACAAAAATATTTTCCAACAGAGTTGCCATAGAGGAGGTAAAAGATCCATTCTATAAACAGCTACAAACAGTATTAGAAACATCTCACAAAACAATATTCTTGATTGGAGACTTCAAAAGTCAAATAGGGAAAATCATACACTAAGATTAGAGTTACAGGGAAAAGATATAATAATGGACAACAACTAGTAGACTTAGCACAAAGAAACAATATGAAGGTAATAAACACTTCAAAAGTCACAAAACAAAAAATAGAAGTAGATACCGCTCAATGGGGGAGTAAAAAATTAAATAGAATTCATACTCACAAATAAACCACAATATATTTCCGTCGTCGACACTTTTTAGCAGAAGAACTTTTGTTACCTTAATAAGAAAATCTAACCTCAACAGAGAACCACCTAAAAAAATTCAACAAAAATATAATCTACTAGTAGAAAGCTAAACTGTATAACACCGTAAAAGTTACCCATTGACTTGTTATACAGTAGGTGCAGAAGGAAGAAAGCTGTTGGAAAACGGTAAACCACTTTTGACAAATAAGGAAAGAAATAAAAAACATAAGAACAAACATAACAGTTGCTATTAGGAATCTCAAAAAAGAAACCAGAAGGAGATTAATTCAGTATTACAAAAAAAAGGAGGAATAAAGAAAGCTCTTAAGCAACTTTAAGGAAACACGTCATGGATACCAATTATGAAAAATAAAGAAAAGAAAAAGACGACCAACAGAACCCATATTACAGAAATAGCAACACAGTTCTACAAAAACCTATAGGATACAAGAATTAATTAAAAAGGCAGAATGTTTTAATAGATGAAGAAGTAACCCCAGTCATACTAGCAAGTGAAGATAAGAATGCAATTCTATCACAAAAACTGTAAAGCACCAGACCAAATCTTAAATTCTGCATTCATTAGCAGAACCCTCTCCAAACGCAACATTGATATTGCGGGCTGTTTCCGCCGCGTTACTTCCGCGTCGAACTCTTATTCAAAAATCACTCGAATTTTTGCAGTATCCATCTTTCTTGTCTAAGTTGAACAACAAAAACAATTGTAAGTCGATATTCAAATGTTTCACATTTTTAAAAAGAACATCAAAGAAACCATGAAGATTCTATGTCAATTCAAGGAATATATTCCAATAAAACGGCAATTTCATACCCCTAATATAAGGATAATAAGAGAAATATATAAAAACCCCACAGCTAAGATACAGACGAAAAAAATAGGAGAAGAATTGGAAATAGAAAAAGAAGTTAGACAGGGGGACCCATTATCACCCAAACTGTTCTCAGTTGTGCTGGAATATATATTTAAAAAATTGAACTGGGACATTTACGGTTTAAACATAAATGGAGAAAAATTGCATCATTTGAGATTTGCAGATGATCTGATTATTTTAGAAGAAAAACTAGAAAGTAAGAAGAAGAAGTCGGTCTGCAAATGAACATCAATAAGACAAAATTAATGACAAATGGAACACAGTGTAATTAAGATAAATAACAACATTGTAGAATATGTAAAGTAATACACGGTCAGATAATTTCACCAAAAGACCAAATGCAAAAAGAAATAGAAACAAGAATAAATAAGTCATGGAATAGATACTGGTAACAAGAATAAATAAGTCATGGAATAGATACTGGTCATGGTAAGATATTGTTTGACACTTGTGTATTACCTAGTATGATATATGGATGCCAGACATGGGCATTAACAGTAAAGCAAAGGATAGCTATACGAGTATGTCAAAACAGAATGAAGAGGAGCATGCTAAGAGTTAAATTGAGAGACGGAATGAAATAGACTGACATACCAGTGTAACAGATGTGACATACACAGTGAAAAGATCGAAATGGGAATGGATAGGACATACAATAAGAAGCAGGAAAAGTAAATGGTCCTAAGATGTAACTGTGCGGTACCTTAAGGATGGGAAAAGAAGACTTGGAAGTCAAAATAAAAGATGAGAGGAGGAAATAAAGTTAGTAGCAACGGCAACACCCGTATTATCTGTTTAGAAAAAGTCACAGTTTTAAGATCCACCTGAAGATGCCTTATATAGTTAAATTTGTTAATGTTTATTTTTTTTTATTGTATCAATCTATTCAAAATATGTTTATTCTATGTTCTCAATTATTGTTTTCAGACTGATATGATATCTTCAATTTCAAATCTACCAACAACACCACTAGGCACTCAGACTCAGACCTCACCAACTCAATCTTCTAATGCCACTATACCAGGTATCTTTACTCTTTAATATGTTACTATGATGTTTGTCCAAAAACCCATGCTTTGGCACGCATATTGAGCCCTTTATACCAGTTGCATCTGCAGTCATTAATTACCAATCCCCTCTTGGTGGGTCATGATCCATTCTCTATATGGTAGGGAAAGTTGATGGAATCACATAAAAACACTAGGCAGGGGACATGTATGTAATAATGTTGTTGTGCGGCGGGCTTTTCCGCAACTCGACACTCAATGCCTATTTTACGTGAATAACATGGTTGTATCTGTTCTGTCACCTCAGCTCCTCCATGAAGTCTCCTCCACTAGTACACGCACTACCTAGATGTGTAGTCATTTGTCTTAAAACAGTGGGGACATAATAGTCTGATAATAATGATAATGTTAAATTACTGTATAAGCTTGTATGTTGATAAACCTTAGGTTTTACTAGTGCTAAATATAGATGATTTGCTATATATAAACATTTAATAAATAAGAAATGATATTTGGGCTTAAAAAAAATGTAAGTATATTTTATTTTTGCGATTTATATTTTTGCGGCGTCGTGTGACGACACACTACAATACGACGTAAAGCAATGGCAATAACCTAAACGTCAGACTCTTTGTTTGCGTGTGTTATGTCACACATTGACATATTGTAATGCGACGTCACGGGTGAATATGGCACACGACTGATTGCTTTCAAGTTATGTTTAAAAAAATCTTTTTTTATATAACTTGTAAAAAAATCCAATAGTATTTTAATATTATTAGTAAATTTTAGGTTAGGAAGAAGATCTTAAGGCTTTTACAGTAAAATTCAAGTTATGTTTAAAAATATTTTTTTTTATTTAACTTGTGAAAAGTTCCAATAGTATTTTAATATGACCATATTATTAGTAAATTTTAGGTTATGTTGAAAGATCTTAAGGCTTTTACAGTAAAATATACGTTCATTATGTAGGGGTATAATTATTTTTGATAAAAAATAATGTACTCATTTTTTTTTCCAGCTGATGATAACAACTTAGTAACATCATCTACACTTCAAGAATATTCTCATCCTTTGATAACATCTGAAAATTATGTATATGATAATGCTAACAGCTTACAAGTAAGGCGGTGCTTTAAACATTTCTAAAGTATTATTTTCAAAATGGCCTATAATTAATAATAAAGTCATCGTTATTTTAGACCCACTCCTTCTCTGGAAGTTCAGAAAGTATGAATGTCAATGGGAAACTATTTGATGTGTCTTCTGAAAATTATGGTGGAGCTTTGAATACAAGTGATGTTGAAACTATAAAGAAATTCGTCACGGATTATGCTACAAAGGCGCTGCTACCTTATTTAGAAAAACTGATTTCTCAGTTGTCTGAGGTGGTAAGAGCAACTTGGAATGTGTAAATTGTAGTAATTTTACCTCATGAATGGGAAGATCGATCGTGAGAATAGGTTTTTAACTTTTCAAAATTCATTTTGTATTCAATTGCTTGATGGATCGAATAGGACCGTTTAATTTTATCGAAATCGAATAAGTAGTTTTTCTTTTATAACAAAACAAAATCGCCTATCATTCAATTATTAACCTACAGAAAACCCAGTAGCATTTTCTGGAATAAGTCGATTTTGAGATAAGTCTTATCTATCACTTTTTTGAAGTTCGGTTCTAATTTTTGAACCGAATTCAAATCCAAAAAGAAGAAGGCTATTTGTTCGACGGCAATGTATTTTTTTGTGTATGTTCACCGATATTTCTGCCAATCGTTGACCGGCTTTCAAAATTCTTTTTATTCGACAGTTTAATGGACCGAGATGTTGCTATTTAAACTTTATCGAAATAAAATCAGTTTTCCTTTAAAAAAAACAATATATGCTTTTCACCAAATATCACTCAAATATTTAGTTGATATGGTGATGGCCCTTTTTAGCTAAAAACAAAAGATTGCGTATTTGGAATTCATTCAAAATCCGAAAGGGGAATTTTCTATGTTCAAGAAGTATGTAGATTTTTATGAAAGTAGGTATATTAATGGATTTCCTCTTGAATCGTGAACCTATTTCTATCAAACTAGCTATTCACCTCCGTCTTCGTCTGCGTAAATTATAGCATTTATAGCCTATGTCCACCGCGTATTATGTAGCTTCCTATTGATGAAAGACTCATAAATCTATACTATTTTCAGAGCCTACCCAATGAAAACAAATCTTTCCCCTTTATAATATGAGTATAGAATTATTGGAAGAAATTATAAATTAATTACCTATTATTAAAAATATTTCAATATCACTAATAAGCACTTCAAACTTTCATACTTACTACTTATTCAATAAAAAGCTATTGAATTATAATTCCTGCTCTTTAGACATTGATTTATTAAGACGTTAGGAACCAAATACCTTCGTTCGAAGTTCGAACCTTCGTTTTGAATCATCCTCTATAAAAAAAACCGTAGCGTATTATTAAGATCCAAGCAGACAGGGACAGACAGACGGAATGTGACTTTGTTTTATACTACGTATTAATGTATATTAATCACTACTAAAAAACTTCAAATTAGAAAACTGTAAGAGCTGATATTTATTTTTGTAAAAGTGGATTTTATAACTTTCAGGTGGCAAATAGAAAAGGAGTTAGTAGGTCTTTGCTTTCTGCCACTAAGAGGTGGTTTGGAACGGGGAAAACTGGTAACACAACAGGGAATAATACTGTGATGTAAGTTACATGCAACCGAACAGCTTAAAATACAATTAATTATAAAATTTGTTCTCAAAGCTCTGCTTTTATACAACGTGTAACAGAAATAACGCACAACCATATACACCCATAATTCGAACATGCATTTTAATCATAAATGGAAAATTGGAAATTTAATTTTATGAACTTAAGCAATGTTAGTGTATCTTACAAATCAACACAATGACGTTAAAATTTTGACTTACCTGGCACTACAAATGTATGTGCCTACGGCGCGCCACCATAATGATACCACCTACCTATCAATAAAAATACTCGACATGAAATAGTATTTTGTTTCGAGATTCTGTTTTTAAGTTTAGACAAAAATTATGATTCTTATTTGTTATGAATATCGACTAGCATAGTCTTGTGATCACATATTATACGGCGAGCTCCGTATCACCATATAAGCAAGCATTTTGATGTATTTACTGTACGTTAGTATAACGAAATATCATCACGTGTGAAATTAAAAATTCGACAACTTAACTTAAATTGCGATAATAATAATCATCCTCTGCCACTTGTCATGTTTGTCACATATGTCTTGTTTATTTGTATATTATGTTTCTCTTTGTTTATGAATTATTTTACTCTTTGGTTTATGAACTTGTGCATCATAGCGTTTAAGAGCATTTTAGATTCAAGGTACATTAAAACAAAGCTCATTTTTCATTGTTTTTTTACTATGTTGTATTTTATTATAAGCTAAGAATACATATAAAGAGCGTTTTAAAAAGTACGTTCACTGAAGTTTATTTTTTGTTTGTGACGGCTGTAATTGTTAGAGGTGGCCATAATTTACTTGTTTCTAATTAAATTTAGCAAAAGAACCTATATTATTTAAAATTATCGAATCAGTATTTTAAACAAACTACTTTCAGGATGTGCGTTAATTACGTTATACGTTGTATAGTTATAGTGCAAATATGATTAGTTTGCTTATGAATACGCGGACACAAAATAGTACTTTCCAATTCTGCTGTATTTAATATTGTCATTTGTGGTCATAGATTAACTTATGTGAAATCACTAACATATATTTTAAGAGAACGCGGTTAATTGTGGTGGTCAATTATTTAGTTACTTTGATTTGGAAATCACGTGATCACCACTTTTTCAGATTATCTGTATAGAACACCACTTTATTCTGTGTTTGTTAATGCTTATTTGACAAATAACCTATACCCTGGACCAATTTACAATTAACTTAAATAGCTGAGTATCTAAAGAGGTTTTATTTTCAAGTTTATTTATTTCCAGATACTCTAATGATTGTCCAGAACTTCAATTGCGTAGATTGGGTGACCTTTGGTTTCTATGTGGGCAATGGCAAAAGGCATTTGATACATATCATACAGCAAAAAGAGAGTTTTCGGCAGACAGTGCTTGGCTTTGTTATGCTGGTGCTCTTGAAATGGCTGCTATTAGTGCGTTCATGGCAGGAGAAGCCAATCGTAAAACATATGGTTACATGGAGGAAAGCATTTTAACATATTTAAACACCTGCAGGTAATTGATTAGTTAATATGGGAGTAGACAGTAAACGAAAATAAAGACATTTTATTGTTGTTTCTGGTAGTGTTTTATATACTATAATAATAATAGTTAATTGAGTAGCTCGGTGGCGTAGTGGTTAAGCGCCGCGGCTCGCGATCGTTGTCGTTAAGCAACTTTCGCAGGGGTCGGTCACGGGATGGGTGACCAAAAATTATTATCTCGAGCTGCTCCGTGCTTCGGAAGGCACGTTAAGCCGTTGGTCCCGGCTGCATTTGCAGTCGTTAATACCCTCCAATCCGCATTGGGCCAGCGTGGAGGGTCATGGCCCATCCTCCTTAAACCATCCATAAGGAAGGCCTGAGCCCCTGCAGTGGGGACATAAAAGGGCTGATGATGATGATGAATAGTTAATTTGCCAGATTATTTATTTATGTTTGATGTTTATTAGGTACATTAGATCTACATATTCGTCTGATTACAATGTGCTTTTTTATATTATGAAACAGGAGAATTAATTTATTCATTATTTAATTTATAATATTTATCGTACCAATATTGTATTACCTATTTTAAATGTCAAAATATAATACCAGACAATAACATTTTTTATTTAGTACTATTACCGATAATCACACTTTCATGCTTATTATATTTATAATATTGCTGTAATTAATTATTTAATAAAAACAAATATTTAATGTTCGTTGCCACGTAAACGCAAACAGCGCCCGACGTCACGATCCTCTTACTCATATCAGAACCTTATGTAGAACGATATTCATATCAGAATGCCGTGACGTCATATCGCTATGACGTCGCCGCCATGACAGAAGTGGCGTTTTCGTGAAAATTTTGAAAATTAAATTGATTTTTAACTTATTAGAAGAATAATATATCTTTTTAGATATATTTCATGTACACCGATAAAATAAAAATGGAGTTGTCTACACCCCTATTCATAATTAGTTGTTCTTAAAAATAAAATTAACTTCATAAATGGTTACCTACTGCAAACGAATCATAAATTCGACATTCGATTGAAATCGGGCGAGGGTTTTGTGCAAGTGATTAATATAATAAAAGGAGATTATCAATTTGACCTGTATGTATGTACGTATGTAAATTCGTTAGTCTAAATGGCTTTAGAAGTTCATATGCAAAATTGAATAGATTATATTTTCAAAACTACTGAACCAATTTTGATGAAACTTGTTTTGTCCGTAACTTGAAAGATGACTAACCAAACCAAAAAGATACTAATTGCGTTTCTGTCTAATTTGCGACAAACACATAGACAAACATACATACATACATACATTACGTACGTAATTTGATACGCTTTTAAAAGCTCCCGTAGACTCACATATATGAATATTTAATTTTTCCATTGACATTGTATTGCATATATACGCGTCGAGTTGATAACCAGCCTCTTGAAGTCTGTTAATCTTTTTAAATTAAATGTGTGATTATTTTCGATTAACCATTTAAGACAGAAGCACAACGTGTTTGTGTTGGTTGGAGTGATAATTTTCGCGATAATTATCACGATAATTACATAATTTAATAATTATAAAACACTACACAAACTGTTTTTGTATTTTAGGACTTGTTATTAAAAGGGAATCTTCTTTATACGACTATAAAATATGGGTTTTCTGACTGACAAAAAAATCGTCTACAAAAAAAAAAAAATTGCATCCTTATCATTATTTTATTATTTATATTTTCTATTTATATATTTTTTTAAATGTGATTTCACAGTTCATTGTTTGTTTGTATAATTTTTATTATTTAAAACAAAATAGTTTACTCAGTTATGTATTTTACGAATTGTTGCCAGTAACTACGGATAATTATAAAAAAATAAAAAGTTTACTCATTTATGTATTTTTCAAATTATTGCCAGTAATTACGGATCTGATAATTATACAAAAATATAATTAACTTTATAATTACGAACCCTGACAATATGTAATATATCTATATGTACTTATTAATGTATTTTTTTCAGGATGGTCCAGTACGCTGTTCGGGCTACATTACTATCTGTACTGTGTCTAACTGGTGCAGGTCTTCATGGTGACGCAGCGAAGCAACTAATCAGAATGACGTCAGAGGACAGTGACTTGCGCAGCGCTATGTTGCTGGAGCAAGCATCTCTATGCTTCCTGTCGGGTCCTGGCTCTAAGTCGATGTGCAGAAAATACGCCTTTCATATGGTTTTAGCGGGTCACAGATTTTCAAAAGCGGGTCAGAAGAAACATGCATACCGATGTTACAAGCAAGCTTTCCAGGTATTTATAAGAATACGTAGTATCCATTTTATTTATGTAATTAATTACTTTAAACCAAATGTCATATGAGTAATTTGTGCTGCGATCTATTTTGCCATATTGCCAATAAGAAACTCAAGTTAATGTTTTTAATTGCATCTTGCTTTCGTATTGATGCCTTTCCCCAGTCTAGCTAGACACGCGTCAACCCGCCAAGTTCCGTAATAATTTGGTGTTACAGAACTAAAATTGACTCGAAAAATACGTGATAAAAAAAATCTATTTCATCGATGTCGAGATTATACACGCATATATTTTACCAATATGAAACGTTACAACAATCGCATCAGTTTACTCTTAACAATCTTTTCAAAGCTATAAATCCCTTAAGCGTGTCCCACTTGGACACGTGTTATAATAGCGCGCCCACAGCGACGCAGAGCGCGAGATCGGCAATGTGGTTTTTTGGCCGCACAGTCTTCGCCGGCGAGTAACTGAGTATAAATGAGTACGTTGCACGATCATTGTTATCATATCGTTCGCTCGTACGATAATTAAGGTGTATTTAAACCAAACAAACAAAGAGCCAAAACAAGAACACAAGCATTATTTATTGTTCTTCTAGTGTAAACGAAAATTCGATATAAGCGTTTAAACCAAAAGAATATCAACGAGAAAGAATTCTCATTCCTCTAGGACCAAGAACTAGAATTCTGCACAACATTTAGACTAAACGAATTCTCATGTAATAGATAGCTGAGAGATATGTACTTAATTCACTAGAACACAAGAACGCTTTAAGTGATGCTCCGATGCAGCTCCGATGGGCTAGCGTGACTGAACACGCAAGAACAAACTGTTCGCACGCTCTAGTGCCGTTTTCATCAAGCGAACGAGCGTTCTTAGAATGTTTCATAGAATCTTTGCGAACGCAGATAGAACAACGAGCAAATGCTCTAAGACTGTCCTCACTATAATGAATTTGACAGAGTGACACCTTTAACAAATTACGTTGTGTGCTAGGTTTATGAGGGTAGCGGTTGGCGTTTATCTACGGACCACGTTCAGTTCGCTCTTGGTCGCCTGGCGAGTTCCCTAAAGATGCCGCGTGACGCCGTACACTGGCTCGCTGCCCCCCTCGCCCCCTCCGGCCACCAACCGCCTCCACAACAGGAAGCATTCCTGCGCGAGTACACGCTGGCACATCAGGTAATAAGATCTCAACTTCATCTACGTAATACTTTAATTTAAATTATTAGCATTTGTTTAATAATTATTATTATATGTCATTATTGTAAGTTAAAAATATATTAGCAGTGTGTTTATAGTAACTGAAAATCATGATAATAATTGAACAAGTTAAAAGAACCATCCAAAGAAATAAACTTGCAGATTTACGTAGCTTGCCACTTCGGGCCAGTGTTTCCTTGATTTGGATGCATTGCACATTGTACGAAGGAGATGTCCCAAATAATATTTATATAATAGCACAAATATTTCTATAAATGTAATCAGCACAAGAGTTTTCGTCATCTCGATTAGACGAGAAACATATCCACTTATGACGTCATAATTTTATGAATCATACGCTTTTCACACGAGCGATTAGGTCAGAATACACCCGTTTACTTTTTATTATTATGTATTTTTATATTTAGAGACTGAGTAGGTCGGCAGCGTAGTGGATAAGCGTCGTGGCTCGTGATCGAAGTCGTTAAGCAACTTTCGCAAGGGTCGGTCATGGGATGGGTGACCAAAAAATTCTTATCTCGTGCTACTCCGTGTTTCGGAAGGCACGTTAAGCCATTGGTCCCGGCTGCATTTGCAGTCGTTAATACCCTCCAATCCGCATTGGGCCAGCGTGGAGGGTCATGGCCCATCCTCCTTAACCATCCATAAGGAAGGCCTGAGCCCCTGCAGTGGGGACGTAAAAGGGCTGGTGGTGATGATGATGATGGTGATGATGATATTAAGAGACTTACACATTTTTGTTCCAGCAATGGATGGAAGGTTGCGAAGAGTATAAGGAACGTTTGCCAGAGTTACCGTTACCGTTGTTGGAGCGTAACGCAACAGCCGTATTATGTGTGGGCCCGGCACCGCTCTCCTCACCCGGTCGAGTACCAGCCACTTCCCTGACGTTCCTCGACGCCGCTGAGGTATTTCTTATGACTTATTAACATAGCGCAAGTTGTTGCCCACCCAACAGATGGCTACTCAGTTTGTTTTGATATCCCATAACTCTTGAGTATAGATGAACCATGAAATTGAATCTAATAGCATGTGTAAAAATTTTCAGTTAAACTTTATATTTCGCTTACATTTTTTTTGCAAAATTCCACAAAATCAACACTTCTTATACACATTCATGTGAAATAAAAATAAATATCATTGACAACGGTTTTTATCTAGACATGAATCCTATTAATATTATAAATGTGAAAGTTTCTTTGTTTGGATTTTTGGATGTTTGTACGTCAATCACGCCTAAACTACTGAACCGATTTTGATCTAATTACAGATAGGGTATTAGCTGACTTAGATAATAGGATACTTTTTATCCCACTAAACATTTCCCTAGGGACCACGCGGGCGAAGCCGCTGGCGAAAGCTACTTAAATTATAAATTAAAGTAAGTATTTTCTATGAAAATTAGGCACAGGGGGACTCCGAGAGATTTTAACCCTCATTTACATAATCATGTGTAAAATCGTTCTCATGACTCCAAACTTTACAGTTTTTGGTATGTACAAAGCGTTGCTATAAAAGCACATTTCCACGATGATACAGTCGCAATTACATTAATACTTTGCAAAATTTATACATTTGTATGTTTTTCATTTATGATTTATGGCTCCCCAATATAGGAGAGTTAACCATAGTTATAGGGACACTTGATCATAGGTTGTGATCATATAGAAATTGTAAAAATGTCTCAAAATTTAACAATAACTGTTTTTTGACCACATGTTCTTAGGCTTTTTTTATTTTAAGCTGTATAATATAACATCAGAGCTATGGGATATCGAAAAGAACAGGTTGTATGAGCTTAGTTGTAATAGATATTGTTGAGTTTTGCGAGTTGTCGCGTGAATGTGATTTAAATAAAAAACTGTTTGTGTTGTTTATTAAACTAAGTTATTTATAATCAACAGTCGTGTATTTTCTTTTAAGAACTCAAAAGAAGATGATCGTTATTGGCATAAACTTGAAGAAATGCTTCTCCAAGTTGCACAAGGCAGTGTTCCCATGATTTTTAAACCAACTGTTGATTTATATACTGAGAGGTCAGACATCAATCCCGTAGTACCGAAAGGAGGTAAATTATCAACTAAAGCAATGTGAGCGAACGAGATAAAAAAACATTTAAACAATTCAAAACCTTTTTGTTTAGAAAAGATATTAAACTTACTATTTTATTCGTTATTACATGTATTACTTGAAGATGATTCGTCAACTTGGTTGAATAAGACGTATTTATGATAATTTCACTTAAAATTTTTAAACTTCAACATCAAATCTGTACTGACAGCTTTCGTGTAACAATGAGTAAAGGAGCCGACGTCGAAAAAAGGACGATATAATTGCATACGAGAGATATCGACAGAGAGAATAAGCTAGTTGACAATATATTTTTTATTATATAAATAAATAGTCCATTAATATCTGATTAATAATGTAGAAGTAACAGCATATCTGCTATTAATAGTTTCGGAGATACGGTGCTACGTTTGTGGAATTGCTAATCCACAAACAACACCGTCTGAACAAATCTACCGAATCGACCGAAAACGCTCACTACATATTCAAGACACCAAGTGACGTATTTTTGTAATATATATTCCCTACTTTTATCAAGAATCCAAAGCGTAATATTTTCCAAATTAGTGCCATTAAATTAATTTTGACAAATATTTATAAGTTATATTTTGCGAACATATAACAGAAACCTGTATTTTAACTTGGAGGACATACCCCTATTACTAATTAATCATTTGCTATCAATATATAGTTTACGTATTTTATCTCGTTTCACTTGCATTCATTTCATTAAAAAAATGTGTATAATGATAAATAAAAAAAAACCTTTTTCAGAGCCAATACAAGTATCGGTTACATTAAAAAATCCGCTCAAGATATCATTGTTGTTAAAAGACGTGGAGTTACTGTGGCAATTCATACCCAATACGGAAGATGATGAAAATTCGGGACTTGATATAATAAATAATGAACCATTAGTCGCTGCTGGAAATAATTTAGAAAATAATGTAATTGTTGGACAAAAAATAAAATCAGTCCTTCTGGACGGCGACAGCGATAAGAGGTTGACATTCCAAATAACTCCTTTACGGATAGGCCAGTTGAATATCAATGGTTTAGCTTACAAGTAAGTAGGAAAGAGTTATGACTATGAAGTTTTCTTTATAATTATTCTTATCAAATAGTTTTAATTATATTTTTTTTTATCAGACTGATCAATGCTGGCGAAGGAGGCAAGGAAAGTGCAAGTGGGACAATGATATCAGGAAAAGTCGATCTGACGTGTTCAGGCAACAGCGAGAAGCGGTTACAGATAAAAGTAATACCAGAAGCACCTTGTTTACAAGTAAGACTCATATTATATTTAAAGTGCTCAATGTTGTCCCCATTCATAAGTGCTTATTATATAAAATTATATTATAGATGACTTTCACTGAAACTTGCGTAGATGCCATAAGTAATGAGCTCAGAACAATTGACATGGAGTTGAGAAACGTGGGGCCTGTAGACATGAAGAATGTCCACATTGCTGTTTCTCACCCTGATTGTATCACTCTTATCAGTGAAGACAGTGAAGATGATTTTAGAGCGTTGTATGATGAGAAGTATCGCGAGATCCCACAATGTACTGGTGATTATATATTTAATATATTTTTTTCTAGGATGAATGTATTAGTCTGTGTATCATTAACACGTAATCTATAAAAGAATGTTACAATGTTTTTATTTTGATACAGTCATGACACCCTGTTTGGTACCGAGAGCTATATCTAACTTTAACAATAACTAACACTAACACTTTTAAAATGCTTAAACGAAATAATATATTAAAACATCACACGCCAGAACTCGGATAACCTGTTTGCGAAATAAAGGACTTATAAAATAAATTGTTATAATAACTATGACTATGCCAAAGTATTTTACTAATTACACCTCATGTCTTGTTTTGTGCAACTCTGCTATGAGATACTAAATTATTTCGTCTTAAGATATCTTAAAATAACATATATTAAGATCTAAAGCTATCCTATCAATATATATTTCGTATCTTAAGATAACCTACGAAATATATATGTACCGCTTGGCACCATAAGATACTCATCCCAACCGTGTGTTGTGTTAGGCCGTGTGAATGTATCTTATCTTAAAATATTGTAGCATCTTAACCGTCTGTTACGACCTTTACGTGCAGTTTGGTCTGTATATGTGTATTGTACAATGATAAACTGAGCGTTGTAGATGTATTTAACTCATCTTTAAATGTATTTAAAAATCGCATCACTGATCTCTTATATACAGTTTAACTGAAGATTATTGTTATTATTTATCTATGTTATTTTATTTCTTTTTTTACAGTAACTTTTAAACACTATTTTCTTTGTAGTGATAATTTTGAGTGCATTCTTTAATTGCGGAGGTTAACATAAAAAAAATATATAAAGATTGTTATCATTGAGTGAACTATAGGTTTAGAAACGTACTATATTTTATTATGATAAGTAAAATGTATAACTGTTTGTTCCTTAATAATATAAAAAAATGAATGTAGAGGAGCGTGCGGCCCGCGCTAGTGCGTTTCGCGCGGCGTCGTACAGTCACGTGTCCCGCGCGGCGGTGGCGGTGTGCCGCGGCGGGAGCGCGCGTGCACGTGTACTGGTGCGACCGCGTGCCACGCCCGCACTGTACCTGCTCGCGTACTACGAGACGGGGGACAGAGCGAGACCGTACCGGCTGCTGCGACACGTGTTCCGGTTCAACACAAGCGTCAGTATTGTATATTACTTAGTGCGAATTAGATAAAAAAATAAATTGTATGTGGTTGAAAAGTTCGTAAATTTTAAAGATTTTTCCCTGAATATTTTTGAAATCAATAAACAAAAATATAATTTTCTAATCTTTGTTGTCTGGAGGATAAATAGACATGTTAATTCGTACGAGGAGTACTTTCGGAACATGAGTAAAATGACTTCATTCTAAATCTAAATTGATGGTTTAGGTATCAAATGGGAGATGTGACCGAGAGTCCCATCACTAATCGACTCTTAAAAAAATTTATTAAATATTCGACTTTTAAAAAAATCTTATTATTCTGAATTATTGAACTAAGAGAAGTTTTGATCATCAGAACATCAAAGATCAGTTATTTTATTCTCATTGTAAACTGTAAAATACTAGCGACTCTGAACCTTAACTTCGATCCTATAACTCGAAAATTGCAATATGTAAATCATAATACGTTTTTATATTCTTGTCATTGTCATGTCATTTTCTTTGTCTGTATATACACTTTTAAAATTTAATTGTATTTGTTTAATTTGACAGGAAGCCGTTGAAGTTTCTATCATTCCTCGACGCTGTTTGAAAAATACCGACGGTCAAACTTTAGAGAACTTGCTTTTACCTGTTGAAATTAAAAATGTCTACAGTGATAAAGATCAAACTGTTAATATAGAAATTCTGGAGGCATCTTTACTAAGCAGACAATGGAGACTGACTGGTTTAACCACAGTTGCTAATAAAGTAGATGTGTTGACACCGCATGAGAGGCTTCATCTTGTCTTCAAGGCTAGAAGAATATTTGAAAGTCTTCCTGAAGGAAAAGTGGAACATACATTTTTAAAAGTGAAAACAGGATCGATTATCGATTTTAAACCTTATTACAAATATATTTCTGATTTCAAGCCATCCTTTATTGAAAATCCAGACTTAGTGTCTGACAATCAGACTAAAACAAAAGGATTAATTCAGTCAATGATTGTACTACGGTGGAAGGCGCATAAGTCCGCAGGACAATTCGCAATCGGTCAGCATTGTTTATGGCTAGACTGTTTCACCAAAGTGGTGTCACGCAATAAAGAATTAATTCCACCAGAAATGCCTGCTTTGCAACTCGAGGATAATGATAGTAAATCTGATTTGATCGACCCGAAACAGAAAAATAGAAAGGATAATGTCGTTTTTCGCTTAGAGCACACTAGCACAATTCAACATAATTTCCAACAGAGAAGGCTATGCTTAGTGCCAATCACAATAAATCTAGTTAATTGCTACGAGGTCCCAGTGAAAGTGTTTATAGATATGTCAAAGCAACAAAATCGGTGAGTTATGTAATGATCTTGAATAATCTGTATTATATTCTTAAATAAAAAAAATTAAAAAACTTACTTTGCCCCTGGTACTCTGAGATGGGACTTGAACCCGCATGAACTTTCGCAATCCAGGCGACTGCTGTAACCACTAACAGGACTGACGAATCTTTCTAGCACTTGTTACTTTTTTGCTACTACAGAGCGTATTTTCATCAATGTTCAGGCAATCTATTCAAACAGCCGGAATAATATTAAAAAAAAAACTTTCGATAAAGATGAAAATTGTTCCAATTGTTATATTTCTATACTGAAAAATATTCTTAAAGAAAAATGCTTATAAAGTCAAATTTCATCCACAGCCCGGATTGCGAAAGGTTATGGGTTTGAAGCCCATCTCCGATTGACGGTCTTTTTTTAGCACAGAGGATTTTTTTATCATTTTTCTTTAAGAATACTTTTCAGTATAGCATTGTGAATGCAAAATTGATCAAATATAATAATCTGTATTAGTTAACCTATTTATTTTTCTTTTATTATCTTACTTAAAAATATTTATAAAATGGCGGTACACTGCATCACACAAATGTTAAGTTTTTCTTCTTTTGTTATAAATAAGAATATATTTCAGCGTGCACCTTCAGATTGATGGCACTTTGTGAAATACAAAATCCGTAGATAATTTTTTAAAAGGATATATATTATCACATCGGGGCTGTATATACACAATGATTTTGTTATATATGTTACGCTCAAAGACCGAAAAAAATTGCTCACAACACGTTACAGCCACAACTCGAAATTCGTGATATATTATATGTTATATATATTTATTTAATTATTCATGACATATAATATGTCTTTTTTTATATTTTAAGACTGATATTTGTATACTGACGCTTGTAGATTTTTTAATAAGGGTTAGTGTAAATTTGAGAGAAAATGCATCATGTAATGTCTACGCGCTGACAAATATATGATATACGAGCCCGTTATAAGATGATCTCGTTTATGTCTGATTACCTTGTCCATCATATAGAACAAATATCAAAATTGGAACTGTTAACCATGACATTCCAAATGTCTTGATCAACAGTTCTAATTTTAACCAATAAAATGCCTTTCATTTTGTAATATTGACGGTGTTTCACCAGGGATTCTTTTGGTGAGCTAGGCTGGGCTGGCGCTTTAAGCAACGGCCCCGAAATAGAAAACAAGAAGGTCGGTGTAAGCGTGAGCCTAGCCCGGTTCGAGTCGCGCCGGGTGGAAGTGCGAGCTTTGTGTGCCGCGCCCGGCACTTACCTTGTCGGTTCAGCTTTCACTGTCACTTCCACGAGGGCTGATAACCAGCATACTGTCACACACCTAGCTAACAACACTTCCTTATTGGTAGTCCAACAGGCTGCATGAGCATGATATCAACATTTTAAAAAAATTAAAAAAAATGTTTGAAGACAAATCGTTGCTTATTGTATTATACGATAGATATTCTGCACGTGAAATATATTCATAACCTATACATGGAATGGATATAATGTCTTATAAAAATGCAGTTACTGGATTTTCATTAAAATTTTATTGCATCTTATTCAATGCATGTTTCGGTTGGTTTCGTATTTGTTTGACTTTGTATTATTAACTCTGGCTGGAACAAAACTGCAAAGTAATAAACGAATTTTTATTACATGAATGAATTCCATGTTATATATGAAAGAATAAAATATTTTACAACTATTGCGAAAGCAAGCCATCCACTCTTGTATGTTTTTAAACTAGTTATATGATATAATTATTAACATTCCCTCTCGACAGATGACTGTGAATTGTGTGTCCATGTTTTCAGGGATCCCTCATATAGAAAAGGTATTGTGCAATTAGTTAACACAGTTAACATTTATTACTTAATTTATAAAAGAGTATATAGGTAACAGTATTATTAAAAGTGCTGCGAACAAAAAAGTCATTCTATACTTACTTATTGATTAATACATTGGCAAGTTCACTTGCCTTTTCGGCGAATTAAATTCTTATTGTTGTTTGAACGTCAAAAATAAATAACCAGAACGGCAAGTTAACTAGCCGTAAAAATATAATATGGGCTTAACTGACTACAAGCGACTAATTTTATAAGTAGCGCGTACTACCTAGCGCAGAAGTCAAACGATGTGCGTCTTTTGATAGTAAAATGATGTATAAGAAATACTAATGTCTGCTGGGTTTTTGATTAGAAAGATACAACATCCCCATAAATTCTTAATCAAAAAATATCTATACTGGCATATAAATACGAAGTTATGAAACAGAAAGATTATGCTTAACCAAAACCAACTTTACTGTTTTTGACCTAAGATTCAAATTATAAACACATACGACGTAATATGATGCGTCAAATGCTTGAGTTTGGAACATAGATGTAATGGAGTTGCAAATACGACTTAAGGGAAATCAAAAGGTTTTCTTCTATTTTTGTACTATAAATAAATTATGTCTTTTTATGGATGAAATTGTCTACATGTTGTATCCAGGATTATTTAATCAAAATATTGTGTGTCAAAAAGAGACGTGAATACGTATAACGAATTATTTGCGGAGTTTATAGATACAAATAATGGAACCACTAAGTTATGTAAACAAGCCATCACCGCTAATCGGTGACCAGCATCATTGTTCCCTCTTTTTATACGAGTTGGTATATTTTGTTGCTGTTATGAAATACATATATGTGCAGCGATTACATACTGAAGCATAAGAACAGCTTTTTGCTGATCACTGGTGTGTTATTCTTTTCTTGACTAATTTCAGTGAGAGCTTTCCGGCACGTGGATCTCGCCAGTTTCATTTTTGTCGCTCTACAATGCAATATATTTTTGTGAAGAAGTTTATTGAAATAAAGTTTTATTTTTACTTTGATTTAAATTAATTCTAGTCTTAACAAATATTATATACTTGCAAATATTATATACTTGCAAATATTCTATATAATATCCTGTCTTTCCAACGCAAAAATGATTGAGCATTGTCGCATCAGATGTTCATTAGTATGATTCTGGCCCTAGAAAATAATTTTGATTTGATTTCACACGTGCAGAACTGTGTATAGTATTGTTTTTTGTAAAGTATTGTTGGGTCAGGTCTTCTACATACCAGGCTGGGCAAAAATCTAGAAAATATGTGGTGCATTTAATCTGGCATATCAGTCAACACGTTACCAGATCAATCTGGACAAGATCATGGATTGATTTGACGCTAGTTTGATCGTCTAATGGCCCGATTATAATACCACCTTTAGGTTAATATCATAACATCATAGGAACATTTTTGAATAATGATGATAAGACATGATTGTTTATAACTTAATCTTGAATAGATAATTTGTAGTTATGATTTTGTGAGCCTGCTAAATAATCATATGGATCATGTAGATTCCTAATTTAATAAGTATGTAAGTATGTATTATGTAAGAATTTTATTTACTGTTATGGTTTATTAATACAATATTATTATTATTAGAATATTAATTTATCAATTTTAGTTTTATTCCGTCTTCCCACTATGATTTTGTACTGTACATCAGGTTACCTCAAAATGTCAAGTGACCGCAGTTGATTTTAACCCTACGTTCAAAGCATTAAAGTTTATTATAGAGTGGAGAGATTTGACAGATTTGTATAACCTGACATGCCGTTGACCGTACCTATCATCTTTTCGTGCGTGTCATTAGCTGATTTTACATGTGTACATGCGCTCTTCCCTGCGTGATTCGGTTTTCGCGGGCGAACATTTACTTCGTGATAAAAAGTGTGGTTACAAATTATAAAAAACAAGAAAGTTGATATAGGTACTTACTTCGCATTCTAACATAAAATTAATTGCCTAGTTATATTTAAATATCATTGTACATGAAATGCTAACTACCAAGTGCTAGCATGTATTTTTTGATTAGCGAGTTCAACAAGCAATTTGTATTCTAATTCTGTAATCTATAGGTATGTTCAAAGGTCAGTATTATTAAATGTCACGTCGGTTGGCCATTAAAAATGTATTGAATGAATCATTAAACCTGTTTAAAAAAATTAGTACCTATATTAACATCAGCATCAGAATATGTCAGGTATGTTCTCATAATAAAATATTATTACTTTAAATAGTAACTTACTTTAATTGTTGGTTTACTTTATTTGTACAGTTCCAATAGGTAGGTATACCAAAGAAAGAAAAATGCAGTTCCCTTTTTCATGTAAAACTTTGTTAAATATAAAACGCCATCTGTACCTATTTATTTTAGTTTAGTTTAGGGCCCTATTACATTTCACAGTTATTTTTGGCATTCTAGATCTCTGAAATTAAAAATACTTTAACATTTGACTTATTGAGTAGTGCAGAACTATGACTTTTGTAACTTTAAAATTAGAACAAAAATATATTATTATTTACTTAAATGCGCAATGGCACTTTTTAAGCTCCTAGTTGAGCTACTGGTCAAAACTAATGAAATAAATAAATATATTGTTATCTCTTAGGTATATCGTAATCATATAGTGCGTAGCGGCGTCGAAATTTTGTAATAGCTTTGATTAAATATAGAAAAAAATATATATTATAAATCAATTTCGAAAATATAAAAGATTTCGAAATTAGCTTGATGTTAACTGTGATTTTTTCCTGTTTACGATAATATAATTGAAGTCAATTTGTACGAGAATGATTATAAGAACTTCATTAGGATTAAAGATTTTATACTAATAGGATTTTAAATGTGTTTTAAAAACACATTTAAAATCCTATTTCAATAAAAACCGTAAATATTATTTCAAAATTGCTAATAATGCGATACATTGGCCGACTGCGCTTGGTTTTTCCTATGGTTTGTTCGGCCATGCAGTAAGTTTTTTTTTTTTATTTGTAATAGGGCTCTCGTCTATTAAAAATGATGATCATAATACTAGTATTATGTACCTGATAGATAATCTAAGGTTTTTCAAATTAGAAATGACGAGACCAAGCAATAACTCAAGATAGGTACAAAATTTAAAAGATTCGACATAGGCGCAAAAGCTGATGTTTCATAGATTTTGTAAACTAATTTTAATCAATTTTAAAACTACAAGGTGAGCTGAAGAGAAAGATTGTTTTATTCCATTAATAATGTAAATACTACTTGTCGCATAACTTGAAAATACTGAAATACATATTGCACCAAGTATAAGAGCATATCAAATTGTGGTAACGGGAATGAAATATAACGATTTTTTCTTTTGTTTTAGCACTCGAATCCAATAGAGAAATATGAAGAATCGTAATATCATTGCAAATATTAAATTATGTTATGTTTTGGGTAAGTTTTAGTCATTTCATATGATTTCCGCTAAATTGTAATCTATACTAATATTATAAACAGCAAACGTACAATTCTTGTTTGTTTCCATTGATTGAAACTACTGGACCGACAAGCTATATGATATGTACCTACACCACCGGGTGAGTGTCAACACGGGCGAAATCCTGCAAAATTGCTTGTATTGGTAATACATTTTAAATGTTTGGATGGCTAGTTTGCGGTGGGAATAGCAGACATATGTGAGTCAATAAGATCACAGATTAGGTTACGCATTTCGTACGTGAAAAAAAGGTTAAGACTGACTTATTTGCATGTAAAGCTTACCTTTTTAGCAGATACAAAACGAACGTTCGTAAAATTATTCCTTAAAAAAAATATTCTTTTAGTTTTATGAATTTATAATTATAAAATAACCTTATAAAAGAAATGGTAGAGGGTCAAAATCTTTCAGACATCGTCTTGCATATTATATGACTGTACCTTCTTTATAAGTGCTTACATGTTCATAAGCTGTTTAAATAAAGCCTTTTAGGAGTTACTTCTAGTAAAAATGCTTTATTAATAGCCTTTACTTTGAAAATGAGCAATATTTTTAAGTTATCCAAGCCTACACATAACCTGGAACTCGTACATACACAGTTCATTTTGTCGTCCTAAAGTATTTCTCACACCAAATACGGTCTTCGGTTGGCATCATTTGTATGAATAAATAAAAAAGAAGGAGCTCGATGGCGCAGTGGTTAGCGTGTTCGGTCTGCAATGCGGAGATCTATACAATTTTCATAAGGTCAGGTCATAAGATGGATGACTAAAACTTTAGTGTCTTGAGCTCCTTAGTGCTTCGGAAGGCATTTTAAGCCACTAGTTCCAGCTGCATCTGCAGTAATTGTTAAAACCCACAAACACACATTAGGCCCGCGTGATGGGTTATAAAGACGGGTATCCCCATTTATTGATTTTTTCCATAGAAAAGGCCTGTGTTAATAGACATGATGATACACATCACATACATTGCACAGAATCTGAAAAATCTGAGCCTCAGATCCCAAATTAAGCTTTTAGCAATTTTAAAATAGAAATTCGAAATAACGAGCATATCGCAATACCCAGGCCCAAAATAATATAGAAAGTACCTACATATTTTTTACATTGACCTAAACCGAGAATCGAAGCGGAACATAAGAGATGTCGACAACTTGAAACCGCTCCGCCACGGAGATAGATGTTGTCTATAAGATAGAATAATAAAATTACGACGAAATTACGAATTAGACGCAATTCATGGGTATTTTTAATAAGTCGACGTGGTGCATCTTCAAGCAATGTACCGGCGTTTAGTATCTCGCCCACTTTGCCAACTTCCGTATGCCATAAAACAAATATATGTACAATTCGCTGGAATAATTTCACGGTGAATTCACCCCTTCTGAATAGTGCCTAAAGATGATGGTGAAAATATGCCAAATCCAAATGCGGTAGGCCAGTAGAATAATTAATATGCCACTAAAGTGTTTAGTATTTTATATTACGCGTAAGTAAGTTAAATGAAGTACTTATATTCTTTATATATGGAAACATTGTATGTACTTCTTTATTATTATCATATGAAGTAAAATTAGTTCAATTCATTCTATCAATATAATGCGTAAATTGAACCATACGGGGCGACAACGTAGCATAATGTTTGATACTCTTTTATGCGTTATCGATAATCGATATATGGATAAAATTAATCGGTTTGTTTACGCATATGGTTGAGTGGCTGCGATGGGAATAGTAGGCGTTATTATTGTTCAGTAGCATGGTCATAATATGGCATCGGTATATTAGAAAGAGTCTTAATTTTTGCCGTCTGCCGTCCTTTAGATCCAGCCCTAAATGAACCCCTTTGAGACTTTGGAAATATGTTTAATTATTTTATTCATGTTCAAGTAAGTCAAGTTTGGTAAATGTAAAATCGTTCTTGAAAAATTGATTTCCATTATATTTTTTTTTATTAAAAATTGATATATATTACAGTGTCTCTTTAAAAGTTCTTTGTAACATGAAAATTATCTATGTATACACACACATCTGGTTACAAGAAAATGAGTATTAATACTTTGATTATCTTGATTATTAAATGTTGCTTATTTTATATTTTAGAACAACTCAATAATTGTTACATGGTATTCTGGCAGTTTCGAAGCCTTTTTAACAAAACAATCAATTCTTTTATTATTATTAATATTCGTGTTATGGCTAAGTAAGTTACGATCAGAGGCGTGGTAGTACGAAATATATCGATTAAAAGAACTAATGATCGAATATGTGCCAAATCGATTAATACAATCTTGTAGTAAAAGGGTGGGCGTCCATCTTGAATTTTGTTGGATTTGAGCCGGTTTAGTTGTAATAAAAGTGTATTTTGTAGCTTTAACTTCACGCCAATTGATAATTTTCAAGAAGTTTAAAGTATGCTGAAACTGTTTGTCGTTTAGATTAGGATTAACTGCAGTAATGTGTTAGGTATGAAATTGTACTGCAATATTCGATCATTTGACGAGTAATGGCGTGCGTTTTTCTCTCGGAAGACACTTTCAAATTTTATTCTATGTCGTCAGATCCTATGAATAGTTACTTTTAGTGCTTGTGATATAATGTTGTAGTGTGAGAAATAATAATTGATATAATGTTAGATAATTTGTGATGTGTGAATAAAAACGAAACCACTGAGCTGGATGTCTTTTTTAGGTTATAATATCACAATTCATACTCGTAAACGCTTACAAATTTAAATCGTTGTAAATGTGTGTGTTAAACATAAAGTCAAACAAGTGATTCGGAAATTATTTTCATCCACAGTATCATTACTCAAGACTTATGCGATTTCCGGAAAGAGTATCGCTGATAGAACCCTAGGTTGGCAGAGGCATAGTACGATGGCAGTACCTAGTAGAGCGAGGGTATATGCCGATGTCAACTCACAGAAGCCAAGAGAATATTGGGATTATGAAAGCTATGTAGTTGACTGGGGCAATCAAGAAGATTACCAGTTGGTTCGAAAGCTTGGGCGTGGGAAATATAGTGAAGTATTTGAGGCAATAAATATCACAAATAACGAGAAGTGTGTAGTTAAAATATTGAAAGTAAGTACAAAAGTTATTGACTCATTACATGTTATAATATAGCATTTTGTATAATAAATGTTTTATTACAGCCTGTTAAAAAGAAGAAGATTAAAAGAGAAATAAAAATATTAGAAAACTTAAGAGGAGGCACAAATATAATTACTTTACAAGCAGTAGTCAAAGACCCAGTATCTCGTACCCCAGCATTGATTTTTGAACATGTGAACAATACTGATTTTAAACTACTGTACCAAACTTTGTCAGATTATGATATAAGGTAATATATACTTCATTACTATGTATCTTCAAATTATTAAAATAGGAAATAATTACAGATTTGTTATTTGCAGGTATTATTTGTATGAACTTCTAAAGGCACTAGATTATTGCCACAGTATGGGCATCATGCATAGGGATGTGAAGCCACATAATGTGATGATTGATCATGATAATAGAAAGCTACGTCTCATTGATTGGGGTTTAGCTGAGTTTTACCACCCTGGACAAGAGTACAATGTTCGTGTTGCATCTAGATACTTTAAGGTAACCTGATTTATAATTATGTAATCATAATTATAATGTAACTTTTAAAGAATTGATTACATTTTTAGGTGATGCATATAAAGCTGAAGTTAATATAAGGTTATTTATTTCTAGGGTCCTGAATTATTGGTGGACTATCAAATGTATGATTATTCATTGGATATGTGGTCACTAGGATGTATGCTTGCATCCATGATATTTCGTAAAGAACCATTCTTCCATGGTCATGATAATTATGACCAACTTGTCCGTATAGCAAAGGTGTTGGGCACAGAAGAGCTGTTTGAATATTTGGATAAATATCATATAGAGTTGGATCCTCGGTTTAATGATATCCTCGGGAGGTATGTGTAATTAATACTGATTGTTGCCTAGTCCCTAAGTGAGTTTACCTATAAAAAGGACTGTTTTTAAAATTAAAAAAATATTAATTAAGGAAAAAGTAATGGTTTGAAAATATCTTCCATCAATATTTGGAACTGATGTTTATAATATTAATGAGAATGTTTTTACAGGCATTCCAAAAAACGGTGGGAGAGATTTGTCCATTCAGAAAATCAACATCTGGTATCACCTGAAGCTTTAGACTTTCTTGATCGTCTTCTTCGTTATGATCATTATGAGCGTTATACTGCTCGTGAGGCAATGGATCATCCTTATTTCTGTAAGTATGCAATTATTCTCCCAAATAAAAAAACAAATTATATGTATTGCATTATATTACTCTAACCTTAAAATTTCATAATGAGAATAAAATTAAACACGACCAATTTACAATTGTCACATAATATAGTTAGCAAAATTTAACTTTTCAAATTAATATGGTATGCCATGATTCAAATTAATATAGTAAGCATTTGGGTCACCAACATATGTATGTGTAAAACATTTCTATTCAATTGGTCCAGTACTTTCAGAGAAATGTTTCGTTTTTTTATTACTGTTTCGTTTCTTTCTGTAATTGACCACTTTTGAGCTTAAACAAATTGGCTGCTCCTGAAAATAGACAATTCTTTTCAGTAGAATTATTGTCATTGTGTTTCAGACCCAATTGTGAAGGAACAAGGAAGAATGGTTTCATCAAATTCTCCAACCCCCAATGCATTGCAAGGACCAATAAATGCAGCAGAGTAATCAATAGTTACAGAAAATCCGTAACATTCTTTATAATGCTATGATATATAATTGTACAAGATTCCAAATGAAGTCATTATAGAAACACCAAAACAAAGCGTCCATTGGCAGTGTAAATAGCTACACTTGGAATTAAATGAAGAACATGGTCTTTGTTCAACCGACAACTCTTGTAATTCCAATGTTTGATAAATGGAAATATAATTTGGAAAGACAATATAATTTAGTGTTTAATATTAGTAAAACTGGTTATGCATTGTTTTAAAAGTGTTTATCTCGGGTATGAACTGGCAGAACAACTCATGAAAGTGATCATGTATTCAAGATGTTACTTTGGAAGTATCCTATGATGTTTTAAATTGTTGAAGTAAAACATAATCATCTTTTTTTTTTACAAAAATCAATAATATGGATTATTGAGATGAAGACAACATTTCGAGTTTCATTGCACTTGATCTTTTGCATTTATTAACCTATGGTATTGATATTGTAATTACTTGTATAATATAATACTGATAACATCTGCATACCATTTGCAAGAACTGGTTAGCGGCTTTTCGTTGGAAATGTATTTAAAATTTTGTATTTATGTAATAGAAGTAAAATGTAGATATGTGTAATATAAATACAAAATTTTAATATGATAAATTAATCGTTTTCTTTAATTACTTAGGTATTTTATAAAGAAGACCAGTAATTTCTAATAATATTAGACAATGTCGCTATTATTGTTTCTATTAGTATATTTTAGTAATTTACGTTAGCCGTTCTTTATACAGCTATTTTCGACTTCATTTTATATAATTACATATAAAATCAAGTCGAAACCTCAATTTGAAGGTAAACCCTCATTGATTATAATTTATTTAAGTGTGATAACTGGAAGTTGTTGCATCAAAATTTTTTTAATAAACAATACTAACTTTGCCTGGACATTTTTTCGACTTCTTGTACTTCAAGATGAAGTATCGTAAACTGTAATTCAACCCTAGCTTGCTTTAAAATACCTTTCCGATTTCTGAGAAAGTAGATAGTTTGACTCCGAGGTCTGTAAAAATTCGGAAATATATTTGTTCTATGAACAGGAACAATTATTCTTATTAATTTCATGTGCATGTTAAAAATTCAAATTTTACAAAATCGTCAGTCTACATTTTAATCTGTGTATGTCTTCAAGATAAGGCACGTTGATACAAAGATTGTACAGAGTCAAAACTTATCAAAGCGTAAATTTAAAATCCTAAAAAGTTTGTTAATTTTTTCCCGCCGTAACAGATGTTTTAGTGCAGTCTCCGCGCGGACACCACGCGGAATAAATTCTCTTGCGTAATGACATGATTTCAAGAAATCTTCAGTAAGTTCTAATTAATATGGCGCATAGTTAAAATTTTTAATGAGTCTCGTTGCTATATTCATAAGATGTAAAATACAACTCATTAGGTGTCATATCATTTTGGCAGGATCATGGATCTCCTAATGGCGTTATATTTGAGTAATACTTATTGGCCGACGTTTGCCGCGTTGCGAAATTATTCTTCATTTAGCCTTTTGCGCGGATTCATCAATGAGCCACATTAGTTATATCTTACTGTAACATTTTGCCTCGTGGTGTAGGTGTGTGTGGAGGTGGCGCCGATCGTGACAACATTAATGTTGCAAGCGCGCTAAAAAATATAATTGTATGTAATCCTCTAGAATAAATATTTTTAAATATAAAATATTTGTGAAGTTTTAACCGCTCCTTGTTATGGCTCCCAGCGATCCGCCACTACGTAGGTACTATATAAAATATCATATAAGTACCCATATCATGCTCATATAACCTGTGTGGACGTACAAGAGCTGATAATGATGAGATCGATTAGGCTTATTACATTAACATAAATATCTTAAACAACAGTAAAAATAGATTTATGAAAAAGAGATACCCAAATATATAGGTACAACTAGATGGCGCTACTATGATCGACATTATTTTGTCGATTCTTAACGGGAAATGTCAAAATCCTTAAATTTCGTTCCTTTATACGTAATATTAAATTATAACTAAACTTGCTGTTAAAAGAAAATTAATTGAAATTCGCAACTTAGATGCTTAAAGGCACAAATATTTAAAAATAGAGGATAACTTTGGTGTTTCAGTTCACTTTTATCACAGAAAGGAAAGCGAAAGGTATGTGATTTATCATTTGTTTAAGAAATTAAGATTCAAAATCATGTGGACCTTGACAGATATATATAACCTGACGTGCTGTCGATTGTATAATGTTTACAATTTAACTTACAAAAACCGCCCAAACGGTGACTGACGATATAACGTTAGTGGGGTAAACAAAAGGGGGGTTTTCGGTGAAAAAAAATGAAATCGCCATATGCCGTTTTTATATATTACCCTGTTAAAAACTTGGTATTCGATAGAATTACTTTACATTGTATGTTTCCCACGTTTTTTCTAGATTCTTTTACACAAAAATGACGTCACGGGCTCTGATTATTTTTTGTTTATTGAATTAAAAATATAAATTATTGCTGTTTTGCAAAAACTATTCTACGAATCAAATTTCAACTTTATGAACTTTTTAACCACACACAATTTAATATTTATCTAATTATTGTCGGATCTTCTACTGTATAGAAGTCTGAAGTTCCTTTAGAATAGTGTGAATTGCGATCGGTGGCAGCGTTTCCAAACGTAATGAGGAAGTATTAATAAAAAAACGAAAGCACTAAAAAAGCACCTATACTAGATGGCCACTCTACCAAAAGTTGATATTTGCAGGAAACGAATGGACCAATAACACTCATTTCTGTTCCTTTTACTAACATATTAAAAAACTTAGATATCAATACAAATACGAAAAAGTACAAATAGAATATTAGTTGTTTATTGAGTTTTGAAAACTATTTTGATTTAAACATGAAAGAAAATCGGAAGGTTTGTCATGGAGAAATCAAGAACGTACCGTAGCGACCTCTAGTTAGATTTCGGAAACTATTTTTTTCAAATACTTCCATTTGAAAAAAATAGTTTCCGAAATCTAACTAGAGGTCGCTACGGTACGTTCTTGATTTCTCCATGACAACAACATTTCCGGTTTTCTTTCAAGTTTAAAAGTAAATTAGTTTTCAAAACTCAATAAACAACTCATATTCTAATTGTACTTTTTCGTATTTGTATTGATTTCTAAGTTTCGAACTTTTCAACTTTCAATTTTTTAATATTATTATGTTGAATTGTCTTTGGTCCATTCGGTTCCTGCAAAAATCAACTTTTGCTAGAGTCGCCATCTAGTGGAGGTGCTTTTTAGTGCTTTCTTCCTCATTAAAATAAGTAATGTCGGCTACTACTGGCAAGGGTAACTAACTGGTATGTTGTGATGAAGTTAATGGAAACTATAGTGGGTTATAGATGATGAGGTGAGACGAATAGATGGCTTAAGTTCCTCTTGCCCCCCACCTGTGACTTGTAGCTCCGTTGCCTAGAGACAAGAGTTAAGTGGAAGTCAGGGCCAAAATCCAACGTGACTTCACACTGCACTTTCCCCTCGTAGCATCATCAGCCACGTTAAGTTCACTGGGAATCCAAGGCCATTCATTCACACTGGCATTTTCCAAAATCTCACCGATACGATGGGCTACAAAGGGTTTAAGATTTCTTGCGTCACTTCGTAACCATCCCAAAACAGTAATTGAGTCACAACAGAAGTTAAGGTGACGGGTTTGAAACGATGAGATTCGCAGATGATGGTAGTGAGGCGACAGCTATCCAAGGCTCCTTTGTAGTTCCAAACGAGGAATTAAAGCTGGTGTTAAAGGAGAGAAACGTGCCTTGCTAGCTATGAGCGCAAGTTATCTTACCGCTGGGAAGAGTGAATCTCCAATAAGCAACGGCTGCGTGGGCTAACTGACTAGCATCACAAAGCACATGAAGCTGGACGTCCATAAAACCGTTTCAAATGTAGCATCGGGGCACGCGTAGCCCTAAAATCGACTTTAGGCTTTCAAACCACTCTTGCCAGATCACCTGATCTGTACCTGATAGCCGCTCGTCCCAATCACACACGTTCTTACGCCACAGATTTTGGAAAAGAATCCGACCTTTGACTACTATTTGAGCTAAAATGCTTAGAGGACCGTAAATGAGCATAACTTGGGCTAATAATTCGCGTTTGGTGAAGCTATCTGGGTGATAATCTATAAGCCCTAGATAAAAACCTAAGATATCATGACTAGGCTTCCAGATTAAACCTAATGTACGAGTGTAAGTAGAGATATCAACTCTTTTGGCAGCCAACTCAGAGCGTTGGTTTTGTTGGAAATCTAACACGCATTGTAAAACCTCCGTGCTTGTGAATTTCTAAAACGTCGGCTGCCAAGCGTGCTGCCTAGTCTGAATCGTCTACACTTCCGATAAAATCATCCATGTAGGAAAGTCATCTTGGAATTCTGATGCGTTGCAGTTCATTATGAAAATAGCCGTAGAAGAACTAGAACAAGCACCAAATATCATCAAAGACATACTGTAAACTTTAATAGGTCCTGCGAGCTTATTACGCCATAGAGCGTCTCGATCCTGTTCCTGAATTTTTACCTGCGGGAAACATTTCCTTAATGTCGGCGGTCAAGGCTACATTATCCACCCTAAAACGCATCAAAATTGCTTAAAGAGACTGCAAAAATAAGAATCCGGAAAAGTAATGAGTAATTTGAGCGGCTGCGTCCTGAACGACAAGTTTCGCAGGTCTGTTAGGGTTTAACACACCAAAATGAGGTAACTAACACACTGCTTTTGGTGGCAACTCTGTGCACTCCTCGGCGTAACCATTATCTAATATGTCCTGATAATATTGACGCGGTACTTCTGTGCGTATTCAGGATCCTTTGAAATCTTCTACTAAGCGCACAGTAAGCAAACCTGGAAGCGTCCACTAGGTAGGCGTTTAGCTATTTGTTCCAGAATACTAAGAGCGCGATGGTCATCTGAACTTCTAAGTTCGTGTTTAGAAATACCAATTGCGTCTAGCCTATATTGTTCCCTGATGAGGGCTTCCAGTTCATGCTTGGATTTCGACCCTCCCGTAAAGAAACGTGGTAGATAGAGTGTAGCTTTAATTATGATACAACAAGTCATTTAGAACAAAGGAAACCTACATCACCCACAATAAGTTTCACAACCAATTCGCATAAATAGAATGTCTAACCTACACCGTTGGACCGCGGTCCCCGGGCTAACAATACCTAGATCGGAGACAATGAGGAAGTATTAAAAAAAACATTAGTTCCCGAAATCAAACTACCTCGTGTGTTTATAAATTTTGAAACCAAATAAAAGCTGCGTAACTTTTTTAATAATCCTATTATCCTGTTAATATTATAAATGTGAAAGTTTCTTTGTTTGGATGTTTGTACGTCAATCACCCCGAAACTACTGAACGGATTTCGATGAAATTTGGTATACAGATAGGGTATTAGCTGACTTAGATAATAGGATACTTTTTATCCCACTAAACATTTCCCTAGGGTCCACGCGGGCGAAGCCGCTGGCGAAAGCTAGTTAAATAATATTTCTAAAATTTTTAGTAACCAATAAATAGATAATAACCAACAATATATTTTATTCAAAATGACCGCCGTTTTTTTTTTCTACCTTTCTATCTTTTCTATCGGAATTCCGGTCGAACCCTTGTTCGCTTCAGTGATTCCAAGTTTGGGTGGGACATTCGGCAGGCCCTGAGCTCCATTTCAGTCCATAAAGAATATTCCAGCTGGTTGGGGGCTGGAGGAGGGCCACTCGACCGTTGCGATGAAGACCGGCACATTCTCCTTCAACCAAGCTTGGTTGCTTTTTGTCTTATGGATGGCGCCGTGTCTTGCTGACAAACTCGTTCCTTATTGTGAAATAACGTATCCGACAAGGGTTTAACCACGGGCTCTAAAATGTCACTCTGATAATTCTTGGTTTTCACCTTGATACCTTGTTTACAGAAATGGAGCGGATTGACACCTTCATACGAAACTACCCACCGAGGATGATGAGTGCGCGAGACATTCCGTGCAGAAGGATGTAGGACATTTGTATTGATATCTAAGTTTCGAACTTTGCAAATTTCAGTTTTTTAATGTGTTAGTTAAAAAGGAATGAAAATGACCATCTTTGGTCCATTCGTTTCCTGCAAAAATCAACTTTTAGTAGAGTCGCTATTTAGTATGGTGCTTTATTAGTACTTTCTTTTTTTTCTTAAAATACTTCCTCATTAACTAGAATCTAGATTCACTTATGGCTTACCTTCACACTCCATTAATGTTTTTGATAATTAAAATAAAACGGTCAAAACTTTGAAACTAGTACTTATGACATAAAATTATTCACGCGGTCTATTTACAGTAAAAGTCAAAAAACTAGTTTATTATGAAATCTAAAGCGTCATGCCGAAAATGTCCGCCTAGGCGGACTGACTCGAATATATCGCATCATTTCGGTAATGTTGTCACTTTGAGAGGCAGTGAACAGGTAAAAATATTGATAGGGGATAAAATTGATACTTATGATTCTGAGATAAAATATTTTTTTTTAATTTTTTACCTCATTTTATTTCTCGTTACTTCTATTCATGTCAAATGCTTAAAATGCACTGGCAAAGTAGCTGGATCTATTTCCAAATAGTTTTTACTACAGGTATAGCAGAGATATTTTTTAACATGTGGAAACATGGAGTGTTGATCTATAGGGTTATTTAAACATTTTGCTTTTTCTTGATCAATTGATACTGTTCTTGAATAATTAGTGGCTTCTAATGCAGACAAATTATATTCAGTGTCACTGAGACAACTCTGAAAAAGGAAAATTTTATTTAGTACCTCTCCTGGTTCTGAAATGATATTATGTATTCATTTTCTATGTACCTCACACATTGAGCATTTATTTGTATGATTATTGTCATCTTGAATACCAATCTTTTCAGCAGTTTTACATATCGTTGAAATGGTTGATTGATAATTATCTTGTAAATCATGAACAAACAGTTTGATCACTGACTGTAAACTATTTCCATGTACTGCTTTTTCTTTAAGTAGTTCTAGTTTGTTAATGTTTATATAGTGCTGAAGCTCTTCAAATGTAATTTCTTTTAATGGTCTTAATATTTTAATATCATTCCTGCTGTCACAAAAGCCCTAAAAATATATATCTAGTAAAAAAAAAAACAAAATATAGAACACAAAAAAGAATAGCTCAAATCCAGAAGAGAGTCACAAATCACTAATGCGCCTGGCCAACAGTTTGATTACAAATCGAGTTCAAAAGTTAATACTGTACACAAATAAACAATGGTTGACGAGTACACTTATTGAGTTGGGTTGTGTTGTTTTTCTTGGTTTCAATTGTTATTATGAATTAGGTTTTGTTGTCACTTGTTATTAAAATAACAATTGCAAATATAATTTTCACAATAAGTAAACGTAATTTCACTAATAATAAATATATCTATTATCTCTCATTTCAGCATTACTTTTGGTTAAGTTAAAAAATGTCCTTTCCATTTAATGTTGCATTATTCATTACAAAGTAAATGTTATTTTTTTAAATTTATAATTGTTTTTTGGAAAATTTATTGAGCATTTGTTCTAGCTGCATAGCAGTCTTTAATTAACCATTTATATGGGTACCATGAACCTATATAAAATGAATTCTTTAAAAAAATATTTAATTACATTACCATACTCAGGACAATCAATAACTTACAATATCATGTTGAACTTGAGAACCTCGTCCTAAACTCAAATTAGAAATTAAATTTACAGCCAGTGTTGATGATGTCTCAGCTGTGAAAATAATATTGCATAATAACTCCTTAGCATACCAGATGAACAATTCTCGTTTTATTTTAATTAAGTAATCATTTTTAGTCGAGCTTGACATATCATTTAAAAGATTTCTGAATTTTGTATCTGCCTCCTTATTTATAATAGGTATGTCATTCATTATTGGCTTGTTTTTTTTTGCCAATAAGTATTCTGAAATATGACACAGATAAATATCATGCTTCTTTTTATTACATGCTGTAATAATTGATCGAGCTACATTCATGTCATCTGAACTTGCTGTAAAAAAGTAAAAAAATACATAAAAGTGGTACAAAAAAAAAAGCATTATTGACATTAAAAGTAGGTATACAACAGGAAAGTAAACTTTATGCAAAAACTAGAAATATAAAACCACATCTTTTCGTTCAAAATTGATTAAAGAACTGATAATTTGTGGTAATCTTATTTGCTACGTCTACATGAATATTATTAAATGAATTCAGTACTTACAGATTATGTGAAAAAATATTGGCGTAAGCCCTAATTTTTTGTGATTATTTAAAGTAACTGCATTACAGACTAAATCCGACATAACAGCGGATCCGGGTCCTCCAGATAAACAAATTAACACATTTTCAATTTGTTTTTTGTGGCTCAAAATTCTATTTTTTCCAATACATGCACGAAATTTATGATTAACATTGGCGAGAAAGCAATTTGTGCAATATAAATCTTTTTGTCTTAGTAGTATTGTTCCAGGAATAGTTCCACATTTTTTACAATCACTCATTTTTCTGCCAACAATAAATACATATAAAAGAGGAAAGTGAGCAGTTATTTACAACTACAACGGTTAATTATTTTATTTATAACCTCCACAGACTTAGTAGGTATATAACCTCAAATTCCTAAATAGTGCTGTGTCAAACGAAGTGTTTAAATTCTCTTTGAACTCGTGTTGAGTGAGCATACAATAATGAGCTTTAGTTAACTCATTTTGAATTCGTCCTAACTCGAATTCAAATATTCTCGGCCGCCACAGTGCTTGAAACGCATGACAGCACATGGCATAAAGTTTATGGATCGTCTAAAACATAAATTTTTGGCTACAAGTATTACAAAATGCAGAGTAATATCACTTCTAAAAAAGATCGAGGGAAGTTCTAACTTGCTTGACTAGGTCAAACAATATTATAAAATATTTTGGTCATCCAATTGGTAAAATAAATAAAATTCGATTTTAACTTCGATTTATTTAGTTAACTCTAGATACGGAAAATTTAAGTGGAGTTGTGATAATTACGAGTTAGCACATCTCTATTTCATATCTAAGAGATATATGATTTTCGATTTATAGTCAAAATAAAACTGAGCATTTGGGCGTTTTCACACTGCGACGTTATCGACACGACACTAGCGATTTCGTTTATTACTTAAAAAAATCAAATTAGTCGATTGTTCAGCTTAGTCGATAAAATCGAATAACATCAACTGTAATCGACCAATTGATGTTATTCGATTTTTGTTAACAACTAAACCTTGCGGCAGCAGCGGACGGCTATGACACGCTGCGGTTACCGTAATTACTTATTCGATTAAATTCTAGCGCAATGCCATATTACGTGTACAATACCCGTGTGTACTATTTAGGTGTGGTGCGATGTTGCGTGCGCTGCGCTCGACTGCAGTTGTTATGTGATTGGCGCTAATACGTTATTTTATTGTCTGTTTAGTTGTCAATCCACTGATTTGAGGGAACATCCATTCGATCGTCGCAATGAAGTTGTTACTTATCTACACAATCGAGCGAGAAATAATGTTGAAATATCATACAAACGAACCTTGAAATGTACCATCGCTAACATACTACATCTTTTTAGGGTTCCGTATCGAAAGGGTAAAAACGGAACCCTATTACTGAGACTTCGCTGTTCATCCTTCCCTCCATCCGTCCGTTTGTCTGTCACCAGGCTGTATTTCATGTTTTTTTTTATTGTTACTTCCATTTCTTGTTATAAATAATAATATAAATACCAACATATTACTAATAAAGTAAGCAAACAATCAACGCAACACCATAATACTCCGCGCAGTTAACCGACCGCACACGCATAACACAGAATGATCACATAGTGTGCGTACAGTAACTAATTAAGATGATTGTTATTCGAATAATCATGGCAGTGAACTACTAAATCGACAATCAAACGCGCAGTAGCACAATTTTCGATTCAGTCAATCGATATTTTTGCAATCGCTCCACGGCACGATACTCAAATATAATTTCGTACACAGATTAAAGATTCGTTACTAGTTTAATAAAATCACTAGTAGATGACCAGTATTATGTATTATCTATGACTAGAAACTCGCACACTGTGTCATTTTTGCCGATATCGGGTGACGACACATATCGCCGTAAATGTAAAAGATAAAAACTTTTGGAATCACCCGATTAATTTTGCCTAACTGTTAGCAAGTTCCCGAAATCAAAGTAGATGTTGCAACGGTACTTGCTTTATTTCTCCATGACAACTCTTCCGGTTTTCTTTTATGTATAAAAGTAAATCAATTTTCAAAACTGAATAAACAACTCATATTCTATTTGTACTTTTCGTATTTGTATTAATATGTAAGTTTCGAACTTTGCAAATTTCAGTTTTTTTATATGTTAGTCAAAAGGAACGGAAATGCCTATCTTTGGTCAATTCGTTTCCTGCAAAAATCAACTTTAACTAGAATCGCCATATAGTGAGGGGCTTTCTTTTTTTTCTAAAATACTTTCTCTTTACGTCAATTTGAATAATTACGGGACACATTAAATTGCTGCGTTTTATTTAAATGCTAATGAATCACAATTTATTTGCACTCATATGGATTTAAAAATAATGGTTTATTTAACCCAATAGATTATTGAAATATTTTCAACTCCTAAATTGGGTTTCTAGGTTTTACGCGTTTTATAGGGAGACCTAGAAGAACATAACTGTATAACTGTGTATTTCGTCACAATAATATGAGACTACAATATTCGATTGGTTGGAATAGTCACAGCGGTAATATGCTTTGTTTTTTTTTTCGGTTCTCAACCTTAAGGGTTCGGAGCCACCCTCCCAACGGGGGAAGGAGGCGGTGAATCCTTCATTGGACACCCCACAGTCGGCTGTGAGGTTATGTCAGACTCCTACTGACTAAACACCGCCTTGGACAGCTGGTTACATGCCCGGAGGCAACGAACCATCGACCGGAGCGACCGCCTGCAGACGTCACTATTCACCTACGTGAATTGTGACATCGAGATGTTAGCTGTTAGCCCCGGGGGGGCTCGGCACATCGGATTGTAATACAGCTGATTTCCTGAAGGGGAGCGATCAGCCAGATCAGACGGGGGTATGACCTGAAGGGTCGGCGTGTGGAGGGCGGGGAGGGGAGCATCACATGCCACCAGAAGGGTGCTATTTGATGCCCGTAACAATTTGTGTGGCCTTCATCCTGAGGGGATGTCAGGTCGAGAAGGCAGAGAGGGTTGACCTGAAGGGTCAGTTGATGGGGGTGGAATTGGCCTACTGGGTCTCGTAAGGAGGTCCAGGTCCGCCAAAGGATGGATTGTGGGAGGTTTGGGAAACCTAACATGTTAACATGGTTTTTGGGAAGCCTAGGTGCTTTATTGACCGCTGGGCCCTTACCCTTCTTCTTAGAAGAGGATTTGGGCTTCGGCGCTCGTGGGCAACCTTTTTAGTTGGCTGTGTAGCCGATTTGGCCACACAGTACACAGGCCGGAGGGGTGAGAGTGTCTCGAGTTCGAGAGCACTCCTTTGTGGAATGTGACTCGAGGCACTTTACGCACCTCGGAGTCGCGGAACAGTTGGCCGCCGCATGCCCGTAAAGCTGGCATCGGTGGCACTGTCCCGGGGTACCGCGTCGGTGAGGGGGTTCTACTTTAACCCCGGTAAGGCCGCAGACCCTAAGGTCTTTAGCCTTGAAAATGTCACGAGCGTTAGGGACATTTGGAATGATGAGTAGAGCCAAAGGGAAAGGCCTGCCAGCTCTACTATGCATTTTATGAACGGACTCCACAGGGAAACCCTGTTCATTTAGATACGGAACATTTCTCAGAACCGCACGAACTTTACGCTCCTCTGGGAGAGCGTAGGTATGATAACCCACCTTGTGGTGGGTTAGAAGTCTAGTGAGGGCTTTATAGTCCTCACTAGTGGGTGTTTCCACCCGTATAGCTATACCCGTGTTTTTGGCATGGGTGTAGTTTATCTTGTTTTGTGTGCAGAGATTCGAGACCTCTGCTCACCTTGATTTGTTCCGTATAAATACGGGAGGTGGAGGTTTGGGTTTACCCAGCTGCGGAGCGCATTTATTATATGGCCGCAGCGGGGTGGGGGAGGGAGTAATACTAGGAGTATTCTCCCGAGTGGCTTTCTTACCGGTATTGCCTCTGGCAAGGTTTGGGCCGAGGGAGGTTTTCTTGACGGCAAGTCCTACTGTTTTAATGTTTTGAGAAAAACAAAAGCAGCAGGGCCTGCACTCGGGTGTGCAGAAGGCACGAGACGTACTCACAGTTTGGGTAAGAGAGAGTCGTGTACGCGCACAGGGGCGCGCAACGAAAGCTGAGAGTGGAATGCTTTGTTATTGATTGCGTCATTACTTATACCACTTCATGGTATAGTGGTGAATACACACAGGATGTCTATGTTTCAATGTTTTTATTCATGCTAAAAAGACTTGATGTTTTAAAAGAATGGGCTTATAAAAGTGCTACAGCTTTGATTATATACTTATATAAACAAAAAGCTATAGACTAAAAAGATTGCGTTGCGCTTTCAGTTCCCTGTATTGTATATATACTTACTCTGACTGCCGCGCTGATATCAGCTCAGCAGCGTCAGATCCATTTTGCACGTTGAGAATGACAATGCCACTAACCAAAACGACGTATTTTTTTACTTTTGGCAACATTTTTCTTTGTTAAGTATAAACTTTAAAATGCAAAGATCCCTGTGAACATCAAGCCAAGAATAAATAATTAAATTAAGATCCCTGTGAGCGTAGTTTGCACAGAAACTGCTGGTGGCGTAGCGACGATACGTTGTTTAGAGGGGGATTACAATTTTTTGAACTTTAAACGCTCTTTAGGTACTGAAAATAGCATCTTTTGCATTGTGTAACTTATCTTTCTTAGCGTACGATTCTATCTCTTAAAAGTATTTTCTTAGCGTACGATTCTATCTCTTAAAAGCATTTACTTTTAATCATTTATCGCCTATTTGTCGCAGCAAACAAATGTTGACCCGGAAAGTGTATCGAAATTCACTATAAATAGGTACAAACTTGATTACTTGCAACTATGTCGAAACAGATTAACTATAAGAATAAATGGGTCAAAAATTCATTTCAAAATCTAAGTGGGTGTCGCTTACTTGTCTGACGGATAAAAATAATAATAAAAAATGTAATTAACAATATTAACTATTTTTTATTTTTTTGGCAAGTGTGCGACCTGCACGATAAAATTAAATAAATATTTAGGTAAAAGTTGTACTTTTAAGTAGTCAACAGTACGTTAGAATCAAGCTATACAAAGATTGCTAATTTTTCTACTAGACTTTAAACCTTAATATTTTTAAGTGAGTTTGAAATCAATTGAAGAAATTTGACACATGGTGGTATCCTGACGTGCAGCCGTGTACATACTTTTTTCTAACGCAAATATGTGATTTTTTTAACTGAAACATAAATTTGCTTATTTTTTTTTTTTGTTAAATATCTAAGGCTGTAAAAGCTCATATATTTAATAGTCTTTCATTGACTGCGAAACAGTTGTAAATTAGAATCATTAGAAATTGTTAACAAATACGACAAATAAGATAATGAAAAAATTACGTACATGAAAAAAGGTACTTTCAGGTCTTGTATCTTTGACCAAACTCCGTACAATAGTGCCCATAGTGGCCTGTGGGTTAAGGTCTCTTATCCCTGTTTGATTCCATCGACAGAGAAACCCTGTGCCTCAGCAAAACGGTGACATTAATTTGTTGATGACATAGTTTCGGAGACAACTACTTACATATTGGCTCGAGCCCATACATATTGGCCTGTCAGCGCTGACGGTCAGCGTGATACTAAAACCAGCCATAGTATCACGCTGACCGTCAAGTTCTATTCCTATTGCATCGTGATTACTTATCACTATACTTTGCCATTTAATTAACGTGTCACAATTTCTTGTTGAAATGCGAAAGTAGTTATAGCACACATATAATCAACATATCAATTTCAACTCTGTTTCAAACAGTGACAATTGGTTAAACAATGTCACAAATGCTGGGTGCATTCTTCTAGTAATCTTTGAGCAAAAGTGGATGAATTTGCTGTGTTCATCTTTTTTTATGTCGCTTCTTTCTTTTTGCATAAATAATACACTGCAACAATTTGAAAACACAGGATTGGCCATGTCTGTACTCCGTAGCGATCAGCACAACACTGAAACGTGAATGTGCTTACAGCTTGCGCTGATAGCTATGCGCGTAATCATCAGTGCGGCAGGTCTGCGTTCTACTAAAACCAGCCTAAGTATAATCTGGTTTTACTATCGTATAATACAGAACAAAGCCACTGGCATAAAGCTAGTGAAAATAAATGTAAAAGTTATATTATCAACAATGAAATTTATTTGTCATTTTAAACTTTATTAAAAGCAGCTATATCGACACTTTGTACCTGTAAATAAAGACAAATATTTATTAGTGATGTAGTTTACATAGTTTCTTATTCCAGAAAAATGGAAAGATTATATATATAAAAGAGCTATAAAGCTTACCAATTTATAAAATAATAGAGTACATAGTTTAAAAGAACTTACAAAGTCTTCCAGTTTTTCTATTTCTTCAGTCAACCAATCTATAGACACTTTATCATCTTCTACAACACAAGAAATCTGCAGTTTATGAATGCCATAAGCCAGGGGCACCAATTTTGCAGCACCCCATAGGAGACCATCTGTAGTGATTTGTCTCACTGCCTGTTCCATAGCAGTCATATCAGTCTCATCATCCCATGGTTTTACATCCAGGATAATATTTGACTTAGCAATAAGAACAGGTTCTGTAAATAAAATAATACAGTTGTATATTATAAAAATTAAATAACTTTGAAAGATGTTACAAAACTTAGATTTTTCCAAAGGGATTTATAGCATGCATCAATGCTCCCTTTGATGTGATATAGGTTTGTTGTTTACAACTACATAACCAGCCAGGCTCAATTGCTTAGTATGTCTTTCACAGCATGGATTATTTTTTAATCCTTTAATTATGTTATAGATTTACCAGGGTGCTACTATGAAAATTCAATGTATGATAGTTATTGAAATAGTATGAAAACAAGCATATTTTAAATACAAGAACAAACTTAAATTACGTTGACATAGAAAACTTCTAAAGAATTCATAACAGTAGTTATAAAAAGTGTAGCATAAGCACCAGTTGTGTTTTCATTTAGTTGCATGTTGTGTTACTAGATGGCACCACAATGATTACATCATAATTACCACTGCTAGCCCAGTCAAATTAGTTTTACCTTCGTATGAGAGATAATATGCTGAGAATTTATATGTATGCAGTTTCATTTTAGTTTTCTAAATGTTATAATTCTTTAGAGTCTCATTAAATGCTTTGTCCAAAAAAATATTTATTTTCAATGCGCTAGTCCCATCTCAGGTTCCTGTGACTGGAGAAACTATTTTTGTTATCCTATTTCTATATTAGATCAGCTTTAGTTTTATAACACACTTTAGTATTTCCTAGACAGATGATATTGTCTTTTCAATCCCAGCACCTGGTACTTATCTCCTTATAATTAATCATAGCCAAGTCAATTTAGATCCAAAAATGGTATACTGTGGGATAAGAGATAATAATCTGGAACAAGTTTCCACCCTATATCATAGGTAAAACCCTGATAGGGGATCAGAGAGTATTCAGATAAAAAATTAAATTGTTTGATTAGAAAGGAAGGGGACATATTTTTGTAGAATTTGTGAATCTGTATTATATTTTATCTAACTGTTATTCTTCATTCTTTTGAAAAATATAATTAAATATTATCACTACATAGCATAAAACAAAGTCGCTTTCTCAGTCCCTATATCCCTATGTATGCTTAAATCTTTAAAACTGCAATTTTGATGGTTTTTTTTTCATAGATATGGTGATTCTAAAGGAAGGTTTTTATGTATAATACAAGACATGCGGCCGAAGCCACTGGTGGAAAGCTAGTTTATTTATAACATTTTCCTTACTTTTAGCCTTCTTTGCGTTATATGCAGCTAATCGTTCCTCTCTTAATTTTGCTGCTGCTTCGTTCTCTTCTTCGTCATCAGATCCAAATAAGTCTACACCATCATCAGAATCTTCAGTTTTTGTAACTGGAGCTGTGGTTGATGTGGGCTAAAACATTTGAAAATTTTACAAGTAAATAAAAACTCTTGTACAATCAATACTGCACTTTTATATATAAATAAAAGGAGTATTTTTGAATAGATAAACGTAAATACTGTCTTACTTTTGGAATTTCAATACTGGATTTGCTGGTAGATTCCAATGTTTCCACTCTAACTTGAAGGCTGATTATAAGATTGCTTAAGTCATCAATAGTCTTCTTAAGAGAAGTGTTTTCTTTTTCAAGACGATCAAGTCTATTTGCAATCTCAGGGTTTGGTGCACCAGCTAAGGTAGCAACACTGTCCATCTAGAAACAGGTTTACAGAAATAGTTTATTTTACACAATCAAAGACCCATCAACAAATCAAAATGCTTATTGTATTTAATATAAATTTTCATAATTTCTGTTAGTGACAAGATTTTTATATATTTACATGAAGGTATAATTTTTAAACAATAGATTATAATGAAAGCACATCTAGTTGTGTGATATTAAAATAAAATATTATTTACTCACACACTCAAGAGAATTTTTGATGTGCTGTCTAGCCTTTGCCACTTCATTGGCCAAAGAAGATTGAGTTAGTGCTAGAGGAACTTGTACCTACAACATATTTATACTTATTTTATTATATACTACAAACTACATACCAGTTTAATTACAGATAGGAAAATATGATTTATTTACAAATATTATGTTAGTCCGTAAACAACAATTTTATAGGTTCCTTTCAAAGTCTACAAAAATTCATAATTAATGTACTTACTTTAGATTTAGACTCGTAATATTTCCTCTCAGCATCATTGAAGACAGTTCTTTCGAGCCAAACTTTCTCGTGAGCAAGTGCGGACATTTTCTGAAACAGTTATGAATTAGCTTTTTGAATTTAAATTTTTTGTCCCTTTATTATTGCATTGCATTTTATAAAGTGGCTTAGCATCATTTATATAAATAAGCAAATAAAAATAGTTTCAAAGTAATCATTACTTTTGTCTTTTTCGCCAATAAACTTTAGTGTCAACTGTTGAGGTTAAGTATGAAAGTGTTTGAAGCGTATTTAAGTGATAATTGTGTTCGTAAAATTCATTGTAATATACTTACAATATAATGGCAGTGATATGTTACAAGAGAAGAACGATTTAAAGTTTCAGTCTGTAAATATAAGACAATAAAAACTTGTTGAATAATCGTAAAGAAACCGCACTTTCGACGGTCTTTCAAGAAAGAAAGAGACGACTTCAATTCCTTCCTACCTATGACAACGTCAACGGTATGTCATTGACACGGCGACAGCAACAGTATTGCTAGTATAATAATAGTTTAAGTCTAAAGTTTAAAATATCCGATTATGTGTTTCTGTGGCTTACATGAAAAACCTATAAAATTTTGTTAAAGTTAAATTTTAATAAATATTGCTTTGAAAAATACAAACATTGTTTTTATAAAAAATCTGCTGAATTAAAATAAGGTCGAATTAAGACAGAGAAAGCAATTTTCAAATAAGTCAAAATGTTTGATTAAACATATAAATAATGAAAACACATCAAAACGCGAAACACGAGAACTATATTATACGAGGGTGGATTGCAAAGTTCGTGACCTAAAACATAAATACTGATACTATTTTAATATAACTGACCTCATTCGATTAGTTTACTCTCTGGTTGTCGAATTGTAAAATTCTATCGCAATAGCATTATTAGAATGAATTTTGTCAGCCTTTGTGCAGCATTTTTGAAGAATGGAGAAAATTGAGCAAATACCTGTTTAAAAAAAACTAACTCCAAAAGAGATTCACGAAGATATGTCAACAACATTGGGGGAATCTGCTCCGTCATATACGACTGTGAAAAAGTGGGTTGCTGAATTGAAACGCGGACGAGAGAGTATTGACGATGACCCTCGCTCTGGCCGGCCTATGACATCTAAGACTAAAGAAAACATCGGGAAAATTTGTGATCTGATATTGACGGATCGGATATTGACCATCAGGGAGATTGCAGACACTATTGGCATCTCGTATAAACGAATACAAAACATCATAGTCAATGAACTTGGATTTTCTAAGGTTTCTTCGCGGTGGGTACCCAGATAGCTTTCAGTCGAACAGAAACGAATATGCCTCACGATTTTTCACAACTGTATGGAAATGTTTGAGGATCCACAAGATTTTTTATCCAGATTTGTAACAATGGATGAAACTTGGTTACATTCCTACACCCCAGAGTCAAAACAGCAATCCAAGCAGTGGAAAAAACGTGATGAAGCGACTCCAAAAATAGCCAAAACAATTTTGTCAGGTGGCAAGGTGATGGTGCAGTTTTTTGGGATGCTAAAGGTGTCATCATGATGGAATCTTCTTTTATATACCATCCTATGACTCATCTTATAAATTTGTATTAGATGGCACACTTCATCTAATTGCATCGATAGTTGCGCTCAGAGTGTCGAAGAATAAAATGGTTTTAACAAATAATAAATATATTTTGGTTGTAAAATATATATATTAATGAATGACTTATGAACGACAGTGAAAAAAAGACAAAATAATAGAACAAGCAAAAACAGTAGTTGACGGTATCATAAAAGAATAAAATTATTGTCAAGAAAAAGGTTGTCTTCAAAACCTCTTTTCTCTAACATTCCTCCTTAATTTTATTCCTTTACTGACATTCCGTTCCCTTCAATCACACACTTCACACTACAACACCCATCATCTGCGTACACCATTTATACTTTCCTTTCAATAAAGGCTTTGTCAGGGAGTCTGCAACCATATGATCTGTCTCTATATACTCTAACACGATATGACCATACTCTACTGCCTCTTACAAAATGATGTCGCACGTCAATATGTTTAGTGCGTTGGTGATGCACAGCGTTCTCCGCAATGGCAACAGCAGATTGACTGTCACTGTAAATTTTCAATGCAACCTCAGCTTGCTCAGTGACTTCTGCAACGAATCTCTTCAGGAAGATTGCTTTTCTAGCAGCTTCCGACATTGCCACATATTCAGCTTCTGCTGTCGACAGAGCTACCGTTTTCTGCTTTCTACTCTCCCAGCATATAGCAGCTCCCATGTGCTTGAAGACTATACCCGAGTAGGATCTTCCATCGTAGCAGCTTGCATCAGCAAAGCCCACAATGTCTTTCAACCCTGTCTTCTTATATTGCAGTCCAAGGTCTTGTGTACCTTTAAGATACCGGAGCACCCGCTTCGCAGCTGTCCAGTGCCCCTCCGTATAACAATTGTTGAACTGACTCAAGCAGTTCACAACATGTGCTATGTCTGGTCTCGTACAGACAGAAAGGTACATGAGTGAACCAATTAAATTTTGGTAAGGTATTTTAGGATCAAGTTTATATTTTGGTCCTGGTTTTTCCAACTTCTGACCAGGGACTGAAGGAGTTGATGCAGCCTTGCAGTCAACCATCTCAAACTAACGAAGATATCTCCGTTCAGTCTCTTGAAGTGGAGGTTCGATAGATGTGACTGATTCACAGTCTTCAAACTCGCTATCTACTAAGTCTGGGAAGTCTACTGACTCTGTTGGTCTCTATTGTTCTTGGTTATCCATGTTACTAGGTACAGTTAACTCCTGTTCCGTTATTTCCATACTGGGAACATTAGGAACTTCCTCCAAGTGTAGTTCTGTCCTAACTGGATCTCTTGAACAATTGTTTACGACAAGTTCCTCATTAACAAGTAAACCATCGCTTCCCAAGTCTTCTATTTGTTTTGGATGTGTCTCGTTATGTTTTTGATTTTCAAAAAACACCACATCTTTCGCTTTGAATAGTTCTCCAGTAACAGGATTTAGTAGACGATAACCTTTGGCATTATCACAGAAGCCTGCGTGTACCAGTTCTCTACTCTTAGCATCCCATTTGGTCCTTTTTTGGTTGGGGATGTCCATAAATGCCTTACAACCAAAGGTTCTGATCATGCTGAGATTAGGTTTCCTTCCTGACCATTTCTCTTCCGGAGTCATATTCTTAACCGCAATCGTAGGCGATTTATTCTTTAAAAATACAGCATGGCGGACAGCCTCTGCCCAGAAACGTTTAGCCAGTCCAGCTTCTTGTAGCATGCTCCTTGCTTTTTCGCAGATGGTGCGATTTGCTCGCTCAGCTACACCGTTTTGTTCCGGTGTGTACTCCACCGTAACTTGATGCTGTATTCCGCATTTCTTCATGAACTCATTCATCTGTTTGTTGACGAACTCGGTGCCGTTATCAGAGCGAAAGATTTTAATCTTCTTACCACATTGATTCTCAGCAAACGCTTTGAACTCCTTAAACTTTTCGAAGACTTCAGATTTCTGCTTCAAAAAATATACATAAGTCATACGCGAATAATCGTCAATAAACGTCAAGAAATATCGAAGACCGCTAATGGAGTTAGTACTCATGGGTCCACACACATCCGAGTGGATTAAACCTAATTTTTCCTTAGCTCTGGTTGCGCCTGACTTCTGAAATGGTTGTCTCGTTTGTTTTCCCATAACGCATGGTATACATTCTATCTTAGACAATGTATTTGGAAAACTTACCCCTGTTGCCATCTTATCTTTGAGTAATTTGAGGTTGTGTATACTAAGATGTCCCATCCTCCGATGCCATAACATCTGTTGATTACCCTCTGCTATTGCCAGTGCTGAACCCTGTAAACATCCTTTCATTTTATAGATGCCACGTTCTTCAACACCTTTCAGTACAGGCCTACCTCGAATCTCGCACTCATTTCTCTTAAAGATATCACAACCATTCTCTGTGAACACAACCACATGACCCTTCCTCGCAATCTCATGCACACTCAATAAATTAGAAGCTAATTTTGGTACATACGTCACATTGTGTACAGTCAAACCTATTGACTCACACACCACCGTTCCTTCACCCTGACCAGTTACTTAATTTCCATCCGCACAGGTCACTCTTAAAGGTTTTGAAGATTCTTTTATCTCTTTAAACCACGTCTTATGATTTGACATATGCGTAGACGCGCCTGAATCGATAATCCAATCTTCCGGACTTGGTCTTGACGTTGTGCCTAGTGCATAGGCTTGTAAAGCTTCTTGCTTTCCTTTGGGATTGCTTGGGCACTTATTGGCCTTATGGGGGCCATCACAAATGAAGCATCTTATTTTCTTCGGCTTCGATTTGTTCGTCTGTTTAATCTGCTTTTTGAAATTTAGCATTAAAGCTGCGCTAGGATTTGAAGCACTGGGAAAAACTTTAATTTCATCAAGTTGCAGTAATTTTGTCTTCACATAATCAGACGTTAGAATAGTATTGATATTTTCAAGTGTTAATCTTAAGGACGTGTACTCCTCTGGTAGTCCTTGTAACATTAACGCAGCCAATAACTCATCATCAATCTCCTTGCCGAGGTCTGACAGTTGATTTGCCACTCTCAGTGTCTCTGTGATGTAGTCAGTTATATTCTGAAACGTACTCAGCTTCAGACTGACAAGTCTTGATAGTAATCGGCAACGATTGTTGATTCCTTTGTCCTCATATGCTACCTTGAGATTATTCCAAGTCTCAAAGGCTGTTTTCGCTTTTCGTACGTGAACTTTACACGGAGTCTCTATCAGGAGGCATATCTTGGTTCTGGCTTTTTGATCTTCCCTTTGTGCTGCTGGATCTCTATGATCAGCTGGGCTTTCAACATATTTCCATAGGTCATCATGTACAAGTATACACTCTATGTCAAATTTCCAGGAATCAAAGTTGCTACTACCTTTCAATCTCTCTATCGAAGGTAGTCCTGACCCAGCAGAAATTGTAGATACCACCGCTGGTGCATCCGTGCTACGACTAGCACTCGTCGTCGCATTATTATCATTCATTTTCCACAAAATTACTTGTAATACTCGTAAATAGCAGCTTACTTACAGTTTTGTATAGTAATATCTATTTTTATTACTTGTAATTCATCGTAAATGTATCGCCATTACTTGTCGACTTTAGCGTTGAACTGCGGCCCAATAACCTATTAAATGGCACACTTCATCTAATTGCATCGATAGTTGCGCTCAGAGTGTCGAAGAATAAAATGGTTTTAACAAATAATAAATATATTTTGGTTGTAAAATATATATATTAATGAATGACTTATGAACGACAGTGAAAAAAAGACAAAATAATAGAACAAGCAAAAACAGTAGTTGACAGTATCATAAAAGAATAAAATTATTGTCAAGAAAAAGGTTGTCTTCAAAACCTCTTTTCTCTAACAATTTGTCATTTAGTGAGGGGAAGTTTCGG